CCGCAAAGTTCGCAAGGATCGAGTATCTACTGCCTGATTTATCTGTCTCTTGTTCCTCCAAGATTTTGTTCTTTCTAGAGGCTTCCTATTCCTTAAACCATTTAGGTGGTTCTGATACTTTTTTGGCAAGTGCATCTGCCTTGGCTTTCATCTTAGCCAGCATTTCTTTGCCTTCTGGTGATATGGTCCAGTTCTTGAACCATTTGGGAATTTCTGATTCCTTCTTCTTTGCTTCTCTATCAGCTAAGAAATCTTGGAACCATTTGGGAGGTGTGGAGCTGTCTGAGGAGGGAGGGAGGTTCGGAGTTCTGCAGTTTCGTGCAATGTGATTTGGCTTTCCACATTTGTAACAATTGAATGGCTGTTTAGGTCCATTCATAGCCTCATCAAGTGCGTGAAACTCATGCAAGGAATAAGTTTTCTTAGTCATTGTACCAGTTATATTCTGGAACCCACTTTACAAATGACGTAAGAAGTTTTGAAGGGCAAGTTGTAACGGCCCTTCCAGAAAAGGAATAATGAAGTGGTGGATGAGTCATAATGGTCCACCCACAAAGGAATGATGATTCAAGAAGAGGGGGAAAAGGAGTATGTAAATGGAAAACTGAAGTGGTCCTTGGTTCTCTCCGGATCTACCATGTACTTCAGGGTCAAAGGATTCTTTAATCAACCCAACTGACACTTCCCTATCTACTAACTAAAAGAAGAGTACATAAATTACACCTTTGTTAAGTGAGAAAAACGCGGTGTGCTTCGTGTGTATTACTTCTCAATCACCACAAGGGTACGGGCCAAGGACAAGTTATCACTCTTCCAGCCGAAGCTTACAAGTGCGAGTCTCACTTGGACACTGTATCTAAATCCTCTTGGTAATGATGGTAAGACTATCTGCAGATGCAACAGTTCTACTAAACTTAACGAAAAGGTACTACGTGCGTAAGAACATCAGGAAACCGGTGGGAAAAAGGTTTTTGTAGATACAAATAGCAACATCAGATTACATGTCTACTGGATTATATCCAAAGGCAAAGCAATATATAATCATGACACGATGGCATCAAAGGACAAGAAGTTGCAAGAACAAGCCAAACTTGATGAAGGATTATATGTCCCAACAACTATGATATACAATAGATAAAATATTGAAAAGGTTCTGCATCTCTCCAAACCTGTGGTCATCCATTGCCTGAGCTGAACTTCATGATTGCTACTTGCAATGCCAGTCAGCTGGCAATCAAGAGTTACAAACTACATGCAATACTGGCCTGAATTCATAAGTGTGGTGTGTCCTAGGTAATCTTTTGTAAGTCACCAACAGTTCTCAATATATGTGGTACACCTGCTGCCCAAACCAGACTATGGTCATCAACAACCAGACAACAATCATATATTGCAAAATTGATGGAGCACTGATGCCAGTCAGTACATTAAGGTAAGGAAACTAGTACATGGTATCACAAAGGTTATATACACATGAGCATAAAGATATGTGTCTGATAGCTTGTAAGATGTCCATGTGAAAACGACTGATGTGAATTCATTCAACCACGCGTAGCCAGGCGCCTCGTCTCCTCTAAGGGCGGCTGCCAAGTGATGACAAAGCTGCAATGGTATCAGCATTTTGAAGAGGACGTAAGTAATTCATGCCCACTGTCGCTGTCAGAGTAGTCAGATGCAGGCGCATTACCAATCGCCAGTTCATAAACTTCTACCTCAGCTTTGGCACAACACATCTTCACATGCAAGTGATATAACTCTAACTCAGGGTTGCGCTGATGAGAATGGTAACCTTACATATCAAGGTAGGTTGCCACGAGTCCTGTCTGAGAGCGAAGTTCCAAATGACATGCCTTATCAAAGGCCTCTTGAATGCCAGGTGGAACCCATGTGCTCGACAGGTAGAACAAGGAGTCGATGGACTTCAGTGATAATGTCAGACTAGCCAAGTAGAAAAATTGACAGTACTGACGTGCACGATGACTGGCATTTGTTGCTCTAGATGTGTGATACAATTTGAGTAGCCATATTTGTCCGAAAAAAGTTGTCTAACTGGCGTGAAGTCGGGGTCTTGCTCTCTTAACCAAGTTTCGCACTTGTGTTGTACAGCTGCCGAATAGGCTCCTATGGATGTTGAACAGGCCTCTGTAGATACTGAACGGGCTACAGTAGGTTCAGCGATACATATTGAGGTTGTTAAGCCAGGGCTGTCATTATGTACGAGTGAGCGAGTTGTAATAGCACGCATTGCTAAGTAGTGAGGTGTCAGACCATTGGTTTGCGTAGTTGGGAGAATCTCACACATTATCCATCATTGCTGTATGTGATCAATAGCCTGGCTGCACAAAGACATCTCCAGCTGACATTGATCCCTCTTCTGTTCCATGAAAGCTCACTCTACGGTTACGCGCCCTTTGTTATCCTTAACCGTTCGCAACAATTCTTCTGTCTGTGCTTCCAATATACGCCCTCTGATTATCTGCCAGATATCGCCATGATAGACTTGGCCTTTGAGCAAGAAGTACAGAATATACAATTCAGTCCGAAGCTATGTAAAAAAAATTTAGGTGAACTGATACTTTAGAAATTGTAGACTTGCCGTCTTCATTGGTATGAGTCTGATGTAGAAATCCAACCATTTGGGACCTGCCAATATGTCTGAAAGCTCACACATGCCATTATGAAATGCTGAGGAGTTGAATGGTGGAAGATAGGATGGAGCTGGTATCATGACTGTTGTGGTAAGGAAATATGTACACGTGTGACGCATACTATCATGGAGCTTGTTTGTTAACCAATATTTTGAATCAGAATCTGATTTGGGTGGCGATTGAATGGTATGACAGCTGGCCATCAAATCAATGTTACTGGCTATCAAACAATTCGAATTCTGGCTGGCCATCAGTGCTAGTGATGGATCAACTTTTAGGAGAGTCATGAGCACTGAAATAGCTAGAGACTCGAGATGAAACAAACCTTCCACTATGAATGCGCCTGTGTGAGACTCTTAGATGCAATCTGTATCTGGGTACTGCCCTGGCGGGGCAGTGAGGTTAGACTTCCGCATAGAAAATTCAGACGTAAAGAGGGCATACGTGGTGACGAGCTCGGCATGCCGTTACATTTTACAAAAATCTTTGCATAGGGTGCGGTGGCAGGCAGCCAGGCGATGGTGGCGGGATGAGAACCATGTTCATTTACCTGAAAAAGAATATTATACTGGTCAGATGCTGGCGACTTCAAACTTCTCAAAAGTCAACAGTGCTTAGCATACACCCAGATTATCTCACTGCAGTCCAATCTTTGAGTCACTTTCCCAACAATGTCACAATGATGGACATGACAAATTGAATATGGACCTAGGTTTCATATCCACATTGTTGATATAACATTTGAATGTCGTTGGGGACTGTCACATCAGCGTGGAGACTGGTGATAAAGGACAAGAAGTTGATACATATGGCCCAGACACCTGAACTCAATGTGATGATCAGCCTTAGAATTATGTAAGTAAGCATGCTCGGTTCACCTTACCAGTTACTAAACACCCTCACCAACTTGAAGTTTTCCATTGGTTTTGTGTCGATGTATTCATTAAGCACATTCTCATAGTATTGATGCAAGTGGGGTTGATGTCGGGAGCGCAAATTTGCACCATTACATAAGTGTAAAGTTTGATCGATAAGGATCAGTAAGACTCTAGTACAACAGCCTATCGCAGACGTAGCTTCAGCAATGGCGGATTATTCCTAGGTCGTTGCTTTTGGACCCCTCTTGAACAGGTCTGGATATGGTGCTTCATAATCAACCTCACTCCTACTCGCAAGCAAAGCTTGCAGCATCTAAATAAAACCTGGAACTCTTTCGCTGTAATTCCATCACCAATGGACGACTCAAGCTTTTTGAACAATTCTGTTTGTTCCTGGTATGTCCACTCGAATCAAATAGAGCATGGTTTTTCATGTTCTCCTGCTGATTTATCAATAAAATTATTGCACCACAGGAATGTAGTTGATACCTCGATGATGGTACTGGAAGGTGGCTAAAGACGATAGCCGGTAGTATGCGTCTATTCTCACTGGTAGGTCATGGTTAGTTTGGGATATCCTTGAGAATGAAGGAAGCTGACCTTGATATCCACACTCATCAGATGTGCATCTTACCCTCCAATAAGTCTCTCGAGTAGTCTTATCTTTCCAAGGATACACTGCCGCCTCGGTGTAGGTCTCTTTTCCACACCCATCGGCACATAAGCAGCACGGGTATCAAAAATTGTGTTCTTCGCGGTACTTCTCAAAGTGTGATGGAATAATCTTATTTCCCTCGTCATCGTCAGGCCTCCATATTCGAGTCAACACTCAGAAGTTATACAAGGTTCGAATAATCTTACCAGTACCATTCTATCATTGATTTTGATGCACTATCGTAATGCAGGAGGGCAAAGCGGCAAGTCATGGCTTCTACCATGAGTTTGGCAAGCCTCACGGCGGTTTTGTGACAGTCAGGTGGGGCAGTGATCATGGAAGAAGGTGAGGATGGGGTTTCGATTGTGCAGATGGATATAACAAGGCCTCATCACTCTTTATAGATCCTGTAATTAACCATGTCATGGCTGGTCCGACTTTTTTTTCTCCCGTCAAGTGTGCCAGCCCCTCCTGCACTGCCAGGATCTTGGCCTGTGGGAATATGCAACTCGGGTAATCGCGCTGGCCATCTTAACGTTCAGGTTTGTCATGTTATATTATACTGTTGAAATTTTTTGCTGTTGTGCTCAATTGTTTATCCGTTCGCTCTTCATGGGTATAGCTTCATCGCAAAGGCTTTTCAAATGCACTTGCACATGTGAGTTTACTCAGGAGAGTGCATTCACAAAGCATCAATGTTCCTGTCTGAAAGGCAAGAAACGATTGATCAGTGCTTTGTCTAAAGCAAAAGATCTCCTAGGCTCTGTAAAACGGGCCCAACTGGATACCAATGGGAACAGACAGCATGTGTGTATCAGCATGCCCTCTTCGATTACACATCCCCGCTGTCCACAAGCCCTGTCATTGTCTTCCAACCATGTCAACGAGACATACAGTGTGGGGTCTTCAAGTCTTCACCTGTCTTTGCCTTTGGCTGCAGTGCACCCCCCAGGGGAGGTGCCTTCTGCAGGTTCTTCGATCCAGGACAACATACCCATCGCAGCATCCAATGCCAACATCGGCACAACATCCACGGAGGAAGACGGTTTATCACTGGTGCAATGCAGAAGTCGACGTATTGATGTTCTCATGTCATCACATTATAGGCAGTACGACGATGTACTCCCGCAGCCTCCCCCCAGTGTTCCAAGTCATATCGTTCAACAAACAGAATCTATCCCTGTCGCAAATTCCACTAGTGTACTAACCACGGCTTGTACGTTGTTGCGACCCGCTCCTTTCTGCACGGCAAGGAATGTATTCGGACTAGTGCGCCAGTTTTTCTCTTCAACCCCCCCGTCTCATGACCCAGAAGAGGCCGCAACACTTCACGATATTAGTTCTATTCCTATTCCTACTCCAGCAGGTCAGGATGGCCCTGCTGAGCCTCACAACTTGTTTCACCCATACCCCAATCAAACATCCTTTGAGCTTGGGCATTGGTACTGGAATGGCATGGCACAGAAGTCGCACCAGAGCTTCAAAGGCTTGCTCAATATCATCGGATGCTCAGATTTTGATCCCAATGATGTGCGACATACACATTGGGACAAGATCAACTCCAAATTAGGTGCGAGTGTCGATGAAGAGGATGATGAATGGTTGGATGAAGATGCAGGTTGGCGCAAAACGGAAGTGACAATCAAAGTCCCTTTCTCTCGAATCACAGCTCAGCCAGGTGTTCAACCTTACATTGCAGCAGACCTTTACCATTGGTCTCTCATATTGGTTATTTGCGAAAAGCTCGCAAATGCTGAGGATGTCGAACATTTCCATTACGAACCTTATCAGTTGCGATGGAAGCCCCCCCATCTACCGCCAGAAGTCAACATCCAAGGCGAACTGTACACTTCACCAGCTTTCATGGAAGCTCACGGCACACTTCAGGAATCTCCTGGAGAGCCAGGATGTAATTTACCTCGCGTGGTTACTGCGCTTATGATCTGGTCCGATGCCACACAGCTGACGACATTTGGCAATGCAAAGTTATGGCTGGTATATATGTACTTCGTGAATGAATCCAAGTACTGCCATTGTAAACTGTCTCACCATCTCGGTAATCACGTAGCCTACTTTCAAAAGGTATGATAATTTTTTAATTAACTTACTCTTCTGCATTGACATGCATGATGCAGCTCCCGGACGCATTCAAAGACTTTGTAGGGTACTCACACTGAGGGCAAGGGTGTTGGCCGCGAGTGCACGACACATTGTCACCGCAAATTGTTCCAAGCCCAGTGGAGGATTTTGCTGGATCGCAAATTTTTAGAGGCTTATGAGCATGGAATCATCATTCTCTGCTGCGACGGCATCAAACATAGGTTTTAACCGCGCATATTTACCTATTCCACAGATTATCCCGAAAAGTGAGTTATGAATGTTCATCGATGAAAATACAACCTCACCTCACCTCACCTCACCTCACCTCTACCAGGGTCCTCATTGCCACTATCCGGCAGCTCGGAGGATGTCCCTGCTCGCGATGTCTCATACCGAGAACAAGGCTTCATCATCTGGGTATGGCTCATGATAGGCAACAACGCACGACTCTTGCACGTTCTGATACCTCAAGGAGTCCATTGGTTGCCACTGCACACAGTCTCATCTATGAGAAGCATTATGGTGTTGATAGCATAGCAGTTGAGACCATCCTCAAACCTGATTCGTGGGTGCCAACCTCCGTGAGGATGCCCACCAGTCTCTTTCTCACCTTTACTAACCCTTGATTAGAATGCATTTCTAGATACTCTCGCTCCTTTCGGATTCAACATCTTTGTTGCACTTGTTGTTGATCTTTTGCATGAGGTTGAACTCGGAGTATGGCACATGCTTCTAGTCCATCTACTAAGAATTCTTACTGCCTTGGATAAGGACCTGATCAATAGACTCAATGAGAGGTCTGCCAGATATTCATTTACAATGGCTTTGCAGGCTAAACTTACCTTTGACAGGTATAGGAAGGTCCCTTCATTTGGACCGGCCATGATTAGATTGTTCTCTTCAAATGTTTCTGAGATGTCGAACATGGCTGCGCGAAATTTCGAAGATCTTCTACAAGTATGTACTCGCAAGATTCTCATACATAGCTGCGAACTAATTTTGTCAGTGTTCTATCCCTGTCTTCGACGGTCTTTTACCCGTCCCTCACAACAAAGTTCTTATGAATCTCCTTTTCACCATGTCACACTGGCACGGGCTTGCGAAGCTCCGTATGCATTCTGACATCACTCTAAAGATTCTCGACCAACAAACGACTCATCTTGGTGAACAGTTTCGTCACTTCAAGGAAAAGGTATGTGCTTCATACCAGACCCAGGAGCTCAATCGTGAAGTCGGTGCGCAATCTTGTTGCCAGGCCAAGGATGCTGCTAAATGCAATGGAAATGACCTTGGACGAGCTAATGAAGATAATGGAAAAGGCAAAGGCAAAGGCAAAGGCAAAGTGATAGAGCAGCTTCAGTATTTACCCGCACCCAAGCAACCAAGGCGAAAGAAGTCTTTCAATATTCAGACTTACAAATTTTATGTACTTGGAGATTATGTGTCCTCCATCCGTCATTTTGGTACAACCAATTCGTACAGTACCGAACCAGTGAGTTGTATTCTGCTGCCTATGTATATGTTAACTCACCTTCTCAGGGGGAGTTAGAGCATTGTACCCCGAAAGGCAGGTACCATCGCACCGATCGAAGGACCTTTGTTCGTCAACTGACTCAAATTGAACGCCGCAAGACGCGCTTGCGCTGCATCAAACAACGACAACAGCCAGCCTCTCACGCAGGGGTACCTGAAATGGCCAACAATCCCCAACTCCAACATCATATAGGCCAAAGCGAGAAAATGTATGATGATTTTGGTCAGTACCTTCGCGACCACAAAGGAGATCCTGCTATGAGGGTAAGCAGTTTCTGTAACGTGTTGATCTTTATCTTGAAGCATCGCTTAGGATTTCCTGCCTGGATTAAAAACCCATATTCTCGATCGCCTCGAGCCAGAAACTACCCAATTGCCTCTAGAGAGATCAGCTCTTACCGACCAGCACAATACCATCCTCTTCAAGCGGAATCAGATATATCACCACAACCTCACACGATTCAACTATACCACCTATGACATTCGAAGAGCTCAAGACGTCATAAACACAAGGACTCAGCATTGCAACATTATGCTACTCGCAAATCACAGTGATGATGGGCACTACCTCTATGCCAAAGTCATTGGGATCCACCACATCAACATTGTGCGTGTCGCCAATGTGTACAAAAGTCACTGATTCAAATTTCTTCTTGTTCGATGGTATGAATCAGTGCAAATTCACGCATGGGACTCACATACTTTGGGCCAAGTTCGCTTCCGGCCGCTGGCACACCAGAACGTGGTTTTGTTGACCCAGGGATGGTTCTTAGGGTGTGTCATATCATCCCGGCCTTTTCTCAAGGCCAGCGCAATCCAGGTGAATCTGGGATTTCTCCTCTTGTGGGTGACAAGCATGATTGGCATGAATACTATGTTAATAGGTGAGCGACCTGAAATAACTTGATGCGGATGAGCATTAATAATAAGACTACACTAGCTTCATTGATCGCGATACACTCATGCGCTTTCATTATGGCCTTGGGGTAGGTCATGTTTATTCTCATGAAGCAGGAGTTGTGGAGATGACAGTACGGACAGAACATGAACCTTCAGAAAGTGGAGGCCTCATGGAGCACACACACTGCCAAATTCCCGGTGACGATGAACAGGACGAAGACAAAGACGACGATGAAGATTACGTGGGCGTGGAGGAGCATGGCTTTTTCGATCAGGCAGTCAATGCCAGCACTGAATCACTCATGCAGGCACTAGACAAGATGTTTCTGGCCGGTCACACATTCGATTATGAAAATTAATAAATATAATCAATTGTTCGCTACTGCATCACCCTTATTCGCCCCCGCTTTTTCATCACATGTGCCGATTCCTGGCTGGGCTGGGCTACTCATGTTCGCTTCTGCCTGGCACTGCTGTGCCACCTAGCAAGCCCCCTGGCTTCTTCCCGGCATATTTCCAATACATGGTTTGCCATCACTGGCCATCACTGGCTTTGGCCTACCCATGACTAAACCCCTGGCACGCATATCGATGGCTGATATGTTACGGCATCATTGCCTAGCGGTCGAATGTAATGTGGGCAGACAAGTGCATGTTTGAACAATTTTTAAGGTCTTTTTAGTGTTGTCTGATTCTTCATCACTCCAAACTTACCGGGATGATGCAACTGTCAACTGCACTACCAACTGTCCATGTTAACAATGCTCAAAACTATGTTTTTGTTCAAGCAAGGAATGAAGTTATGCGACTTGTTCCGCTTCGGGTGAGTGCATCAGTGGCTAACTTTATTTGCATCACTCATGATTTCTTACTGCAGATTGATGAGGTTCACTATCAGCCATCAGTCGTCACTCTAATTGACCCATGTTTTCAGCCCTTTCAAGGCCTTTCAGGTCAATTCTCTTTCCTTGGCTATGTCACTCATGCTTATCATCTTTCACCACTCTATGTGAGTCTGTCTGTAATTCTCCAAGTCAAATTTTTCATATAATTGTACTTGTTCACAGTGGCCTGAAGAATGTTGTGGTCTTGCTGACGAGCTCCTACAACAAGTGGGATTGTTGGGCATCATAGATGACATTAGTAGATACACAATCTATGAGGTTATTGAGGTAAGAGATCTTTCATGCAGTCGAGTTCACTTCTCATTAGACGAACACATTAGCATGGTGGCGCCTCAATTCTCGAGAATACTAGGACACCTTATTGTGGGGCCAGCACACAAATGAAACTTGTGCCCATGTGGATGGTGAGTTTCCCTTCGAATCCCCCCACATCGTCGGACTCAGTGCGCGTCATACATAGCTTCACGAGTTACACGACTTTCAGTTCTCCCTGGCAATGTTCCCATATGGATTCCCTCCTCCTGTCAAGCTTTCGGAGGAGTTATCTTGGCAGCACTTTGATCAAGTTACTCGGCAGTCGCTCCCTGGACCATCGTTCCATGACACGTCCCTCCACCTGCCCTTAGATTTTGATTATGATCCCTCTGTGTTTGACGTAACCACAGCATCAACTTTTTCTGGCGTACTCACACCTGCTTTGGAGGAGGAGGGTGATGGCCTCTCGAATGCTGTGATCCTCCCTGCTAATCATCCTTTCGATGGGACACAACTTCCTCACAAAGACCTCCATTGGAGACAAAACTCACGAGAGGATCCACTGAGCAATGGCCAGAGGACAATGCTCAAAAGTTTGATGATAGACTCACCTTGGGCACGCCCATATAAGTTGGCAAGATACCTTTATGTAGGGTGTTTATTGGTCGGCATACCTGCCAACCCCTTTAATATGCCTGAGCTGGTGTCGAGGCAGTTTATTACAACCAGTTTTTTGAAAGCTCTGTTTTTCACTGGTCAAACATACGAATCATTGTGTAATGAGAAGTGTAAGTGTCCGCCTCCAATTCTCAACACCACTAACTAACATTGTGATTAGTGAGGGTCACAGACAAAGCTGGGAGGGAGACCCTCATGGATTGGTCATATTTGCGCAATAGAGTACGTTCGTTTGTCGGTTTACCTTCAGTCACCATTAAACATTTTCCACAGTTCCCGGACTTATACATAGAATTTACTTCTGAGCTACGTAAGGTCACCAGAGGTAGCATGAATGTTACGGATGGATTCATGACCCACGAAACCCACCGGAAACAGAAGATCCTCGACTTGATTAGTTTGTTCGACTCAGGGGACCTAAACCTGGTAAGAACCTGGAAATTCGTATCAAATAGAAACTTAAGACTTTGTCTATCAGATACAATGAGCCCTCATGGAGCTTGTTGTCACACAGGCCTTCCGGGAAGTGCTCTGGGCTTTGTTACTCCGACCTATCGCCAAATTAGCTGAAGGAAAGGTTAGATTGGCAGATCTATACCCTGATGCTGTACAATCTTGAACAGGTTATCTACAAAAAGGTGTTGTCGGTGTACTCAGCACCCTCGTGAGCTTTTACTTATTTGCTCGTCGGACGTCGATGACCAAATTTGTGCTTATGTATCAGATGTTTCAAGGGTTAACTCATCCCCCACAAAGCAACTCTCACTTGAAGGCTCCTGCACTGTTTCCTATCATCATGACTGCCCTCGATAACATGTACAAACATCCAGGTGACTTCAGCGTCTTCTTCAAGGAAGCCCATGAGCTTCTTTTTCTCAAGTCAGTCTCCTTTAACATTGTAATCTTACTCATCCATCTCATCCGTTTAGGGAGGAAAATGTCTTAGTTTTGGAGCCTAAGCATGGAATTCCCAAAGTAATGTCAGATGGCTGGAGGAAGACCCTTGAAGACGTCAGGCCCATAGAAGTCAAGTCTGTCGTAGATTTCAAAGTCCCCAACGCAGAATTTGCCTTTCCAGTTACTGGCATGGCGCAGATACACATTTCCTACTTCAAACCGTCGACTATCTCACTTTGATCAACTTGAATATTGTACTCGTCATGATCTGAATGGTGTGCCTTCTGAATATTTTTGTACACGTGTATCTCAGAAATGAATTACCCTTTTACTCATTAGTAAAACGATCTCTGGTGTCGTATGAAAGCTCGACCACCTCAAGTTCACATTCGCAGATTAGCGCCCACAAAGTTGTTTGTCATTGTTTTTGGTGTGCGACATACTCGCTGATTAGATCAATCAAAAATTGTTGTCAAACGCCCAATAAGGCATATTCACGGTAAGCCCATCAAGCCAAATCTCCTCCAATCGAATCAATCAATGCCTTTGTTAGAACATGTCCTGTGTTGTATACAGCCCAGAGAACGCAAGAAATGATGGAATCATAAGCATCTCTCGTGTAATTTTGACGGCAAAGTCTCACATTTAACAGTCACAATTGGAGTTTTTGGCAGACTTGGTATGCATTTGTGTACCGCGTCACTGCATACCTGACTCTGATACCCGAGACCGCCACTCCACAAACCCCGCTGTGGGATCATATGAGGCAATTGATGCGCCGTTTCACCGGCGGCTGTGCTCGCGTACTGCAGCACATAAGATCAGCCGTGCAGAGGGTGAGTTCTTTGATTTACTTTGTAACTATCTATAGTCTCAAGTTCCTCTAAGATGTTTTAGAGTTCCAGAGATGAAGTACAGGCTCAGACTGCAACTATGACCATCACTCCATGATCTACTATACCCATCTCACCGCTGCAGGAATGTATCATGATCTCCCATTTCATCAATCACGAATACTGTATACTATAATAGCGCATAGCATACAGTGCAGGTACTACATAGCCTGATATTGACCTCCTGTTGTATTGTCTTACTCAAATCTTCCTAAAATCTTGCTGGTCATATTGAACTGAAACGTCCTACTAGTAGTACTTACATTTTTGCACATTGATTCTGAATCACAAAAGATCTGAAGCGATAACCCATGTGTATTGATGTTTTGAAATATATTTCAAGCTTGAACCGATTGAAATATTGACACTTCCAAAAAAGGTAATGATATCTGCACTTCAACCATTTTAAAAGTAACCTTCAAAGTAAAACTGTTTGTCCAGATATAATGAGGCCTCGCAAGGCCCGCTGAAGCATCTCTGGGAGGCGTGACATTGCTGGAAAGCGAACATCCCATGAAAGTCCCTGGAATGCCCACTGCGATCAAGAACTTTATTTTATGGTACATCAAGAGCAAAGCTGATTAGTGGTGCTTAGATTGATTGACTCATCTGTACTTGAAAGCAGAGCAGGGGAGGCAGCATGGGGTACTTGAAGGATGGACCGTACATCAGTGCGAAAGAGGCCGTTGCAATTTACACAGCAACTGTTCACGGGCTTGAGAGCCGCAAATTTGGTTCTATACCATTCCCGTAAGCAAGTGAGGCATGGTTTGCACATTTTGAACTTACCGTTTTCTCTAGCCCTCTGTCATTCAGTGCCTGAGCCTTATAATCAGTGCTCTGGCCATATGTGTCATGCGCAGGACATACCTCTGGTGAAGAACTGGTATCTGGAGCATTGTCCTCCTAACCAGCCAGTCAAAGTTCGCGTATTGTACCAGAAATTGCTCAAGTGTTTCGTCCTCAATGAACTCAAGAGTCGACCTGAGAAGGCAATGACTAAAAAGAATCTCTTCTGGCAGTTAAAGGCGACGAAGTTCTCTCAGACAACAAAACTTGACTGAGTGGAAGCTGGTTTGCAGGTGTGCAGACAAGGGTATAACATGCTTAATCTCCTTATCCACAGAAAGGTAAGCCTTCTCAGAGACCGCCGGGGTACATTGAAGCTAATTTTCATTTTCAGAACTTGAACTACTTGCATTTCGACTATAACATGAACTTGAAGCCAGTGAAGATGCTTACTACGAAGGAGCGCAAAAAGTCTTGCTTCGGAAACGCCTTCCACTTATGTCGCGAGATTCTGTGCCTTACAAAGCTTGTTGTTGATGCTCATGTTCAGTTCCACCTTGGCAATGTCAATGCTTTCCAGCTTGTAGACGCACTGCAGTATATCTTTGCACACATTGGGGCATTGACTGGTATGTATCGGTACAAGTACAAGGTTCGCATAATCTCGGTTATAGGTGAAATTTATTTTGTTAATTTTATTCATCCAGCTCATGAGACAAGTTTGCATGACAAAAGATCTCAAGCACTTGATCTACTACTGCTTTAATACTGGCCCTGTCGGCAAGGGGCTCCTGGCTGGCGTGTCTGGCTCTTCTTCATGTGAGGCATTGTACCATTACTCGAGTGCTGGCTTGGTAACCTCCTTGCGCGTCAGTTCGAGGGACACAACAGCAAGGGCATTGCGAAGACTGTGACAAAGCAATGTGTTGAGTCTCACTATGACCTCAAGTTATGTGTGGCTGTCATGCATGACATTCTCGACATGATGCCTGAGTCTATTAAACAAAACAAGTCGAAGACAATTTTGCAGCATCTCTCGGAGGCGTGGTGTTGCCGGAAAGCGAACATTCCATGGAAAGTCCCTGGAATGCCCACTGCGATTGAGAACATCATTCTGCAGTACATCAAGAGCAAAGCTGATTGGTGGTGCTTGGCACATTATAATCGGGAGCGTATCCATCGAGGTGCTACAGTTGATAAGGCAGTAGTGAAGAAAAATCTGGGTCGGATGACATGCCTGTACTTGAAAGCAGAGCAGGAAAGGCAGCATGGGTACTTGAAGGATGGGCCGTACATCAGTGTGGAGGAGGCCATTGCAATTTACACAGCGACTGTTCACTGGCTTGAGAGCCGTAAATTTGCTCCTATACCATTCCCATAAGCAAGCAAGGCATGGTTTGCACATTTTAAACTTACTGTTTGCTCTAGCCCTCTGTCGTACAAGCACGATATGAAATTGCTTGTACTTGCACTTGAAAAACTGAAGGAGGCTTACTCAGTCAAGGGTCGTCTTAATCAGTTGCAGCGTGAGGAGCTTGTCCTCATTGAACAGGTGTATGACAATCCGCACGAATGTCTGTTGCACATCAAGCAATTGCTTGTTACCCAGTGTGCATTCAAGGAGGCTGGTATTGAGTTCTTTGACACGTACGACAAACTCATTCCGTGCTATGACATTGAGCCCATTGAGAAGATCACCGACACTGTAGGTTTCAGCATTTACTCTGTTATATGCCATGCTGACGTTGATACTTTACAGTATCTCGATCAATTCCTCTTCTTCGAGGCAGATAAAAGAGGGTTGTTCCCTGCCTGGATCAAACCTGCCAACACAGAGCCACCGCTGTTGCTTGTGTACAAGTGGTGCCAAGGCATCAACAACTTGACAGATATCTGGGAGACGAGCGAGGGCGAGTGCAACATGATGATGGAGACCATCTTCTCCAAGGTGTATGAGAAGATCGACCTGACCTTGCTGAACCGTCTCCTCCGTCTCATTCTTGATCACAACTTGGCAGACTACATCACTGCGAAGAACAACACCGTGCTGACCTACAAGGACATGGCACATATGAATGCATTTGGTCTCATCCGTGGTCTTCAGTTCTCTGCCTTCATCTTCCAGTACTACGGTCTCGTCCTTGATCTCCTCATTCTTGGCTTGCAGCGAGCTAGCGAGATGGTGGGTCCTCCACAGATGCCTAACAACTTTTTGCAGTATTGCAACTCAGCAACCGAGACTCGTCACCCCATCCACTTATACTCCCGTTATGTTGATCGCTTACACATTCTCTTCCGCTTCAGTGTGGATGAGGCAAGGGACTTGATCCAACGCTATCTTAGCGCCAACCCTGACCTGACCAACAACAACGTCATCGGGTATAACAACAAATGCTGCTGGCCTCGAGATTGTCGTATGTGTCTCATCAAACATGATATTAACCTTGGAAGAGCAGTTTTCTGGAATGTTAAGAACAGCCTGCCGCGCTCACTCACCACCATCGAGTGGGAGGCCACCTTTGTCAGTGTTTACTCAAAGGACAACCCACAGTTGTTGTTCTTGATGTGCGGGTTCGAGGTCTGTATCTTGCCCAAGATTAGGACGATGGGTGGCGAGCAGTTCTCATCAAAGGATGCTGTGTGGAATCTCACCAACGAGTAGACCAAAGAGAGAACTGCGCAGGCGTTCCTCCGTGTCTCCGATGACGGTGTCCAGCAATTCAATAACTGTATTTGTCAGGTCCTTATGAGCTCCGGTTCCACCACTTTCTTGAAGATCGTCAACAAGTGGAACACTGCGTTGATCGGTTTGATAACCTACTACCATGAGGCTGTCATCCACACAAATGAGCTTTTGGGCTCTCTTGTCAAGGCAGAGAACAAGATTCAAACTCATGTCAAGATCAGCTTAAACAGTAAGATGCCATCCCATTTCCCTCCTGTTGTCTTCTACACACCAAAGGAGCTTGGTGGTCTTGGAATTTTTTTGATGGGTCACGTTCTTATCCCGCAGAGTGACTTGTGATGGTCCAAGCAAACTGACATTGGAGGTTCGTTCACTCTCTTCTTTGATAATCATCTTCTGGCTTACAATTTGTTTGATCAGTGATGCATTTCCGTGCTGGTATGACTGACGAGGAGGACCAGTTGATTCTGAACTTGTACAGATATCTTCAGCCATGGGAGGCAGAATTCTTGGATTTGGCTCGTGTTTGGTCCGAATACTCCATGAAGTGGAAGGAGGCCAATTGTTACTTGGATGGTATCTGTTGGCGACGCTCAAACAGAGCGTGTGTTGTCAACGGTCGAGGACGTCCTTGGGCTTGCCCAAGGTTAGGGGTCTTACTTGGCGAGGCTTCAGCAAGTAAGATTTGACGCCTATGTCCAAATCAGGTAGCTTACGTCAAGCGGGTGCTAGATGATGAGCTGTATCTGCCAAGGGTTATGACACCCGAAGGTTAATCGTAAGATCGTTGTTAATTAGAAGGACGGAAGTCCGACTAGTTAACAGGGGCTTTGCTCGTCGACGAAGTCGATGAGTAAAGATCGAGACTATAGGCTTATCCGCGAAGAGCAGATAAGAAGATAGAATATAGACTGCTGGCTAGGCAGAAAGGATCACTCTGGTGAGAGTAGGAGGTCAAGAACCAAGTAGATTCAAGTTAGGGAATATAGTACATGGTAGCGAGTTTATATAGAGGACAGGAGACGTATTAGTGGGTGATAACTTGTACTACCAAGAGAGGCAAACGGTAAAGGGTATAACCATAAAAGGAAAGCACGTTCGCGTTGAGACATGGGCGAGGCAGAACGTGCTAGATAAGAAAGTGAGTCAAAGGTTGAAATAAGAAGTGAAACGCGCAGGGGCACAATTGTGCAGCTGCGGATCTAAGTATAAGTCGCATGTGCGACTGCGCACTGAGTCAGAGATCAAGAAAGGGAAAAGGGGCAAAGGGAATACGTCATGCATCATATCATAGGTTACCGTCCAGACGGTAAGGGCAGGGGGACTGTCCACAGGATCAGTCAGGTGGAGGAATGGAGCAAGGGTATGCTTCGTCAGCAAAAGGATCCGGCCAAATGTACTGGCTCTGCTGGAGCGACAGGTAGAGGGCGAAAGGGAATGCGAGAATGACAAGGATGATGAGGGTGAGGTCGGGGTAAGGGTATGACGCGAGGGCTGATATGAGGAGGATGAGGAGAAAAATGGTAGGGGCCCAAGCGTCTAGATGTTCTTGTAACACCAATGCCCAGAATTGGCGCGTCACCCTTGAAGATCTTGAAGATAGCTGGGACCATGGTATTCCTCATATCAACACCCTCTTCCAAAAGGATCGCCATACATTGGCATATGACCGAGGTTGGCATGGGCGGTGTTGAGGGTATCTTGGAGCACATGCTCTTTAAAGGAACTTATTTCCCTACCTGGGAGGGTCTCTTCTGGGAGAAAGTGTCTGGATTCGAAGAGTCTATGCGATACAAGAAACTTACCAATGCCCAGAGGTCAGGTCTTAACCAGATCCCTAACCGTCGATTCACGCTTTGGTGGAGTCCGACCATCAACCGCGCCAACATCTATGTCGGTTTCCAGGTCCAGCTTGATCTGACGGGTATTTTCATGCACAGCAAGATTCCCACCCTCAAGATCTTGCTGATTCAGATCTTCCGTGCGCACTTGTGGCAGAAGATTCACAAAAGTGTAGTCATGGACTTGTGTCAGGTCTTTGATCAGGAGCTAGAGCCTCTCCAGATTGAGACAGTACAGAAGGAGACTATTCACCCTCGTAAGAGTTACAAGATGAATTCATCTTGCACTGATATCTTGATGTTCTCAGCCTACAAATGGAATATCTCTTGGCCTTCATTGGTCACTGTCATATCCTGCGTTCCGGACCCGGACGTATCACACACATCATTTCCAGATTTCCGGATCTGACCGGCTTCTATCTATGTTCGGATCTGACCCGCGTCTAACTTCCATGCCTAATCCCTTTGTACGTTCCTATTCCAGTTAGACTATATTATTTTCCATACCTCATTTCACTTCCGCCTTTATTTTCCTCTGTTCTCATCTCTGGGTTCATTTACTATTTTCGATAGACTAGTGTTTGACTTTTCTATAACCTCCGTCCACAGTCCTTGCATAGCTTCGGACTGCGCTGGCTTGTCCTCCGTTAAGTCCTCCATAGTATATAAACCCTGTAGAATCTATGTACATCTTTAGTTTGAATATTATCTTAGACTCTGCTCATTCTCCCCTCCATTTGACTTGAGTTATTCTCTCGTCGACCTCTGCTAGTCTTAGGGTCGATCCCAATAGACTTATCATCTCCGCCTCTACCTTTGGTAGTCCTCCGCTGTTTCCTTTCTAGTTCGGACATCGTCCGGATTAGTCTTATCACCTGTTCCCGAACGTCCGCCAGAATTCCTGCGCATCGGACAATCGGAATCTGGACATCGTCCATTAGCCTTCGGAAGTTAGGGGCATGTACTCAGGGTAAGGGGCGCAGCACACGAGCTGAAGCCAAGCCCTTCGGATTGAACCTTTGAGCACGATCTTAACAGTCACAGATGTTGGTCACTTTCAATACCCCATTGGACTTTGATCTGATCTCTCCGTTTTTTAGAACAAGGACATTTTGGATGGCATGACCAGCAACAAGTATTGGATTGACGTTCAGCTTCGGTGGGGTGACTTCGACACCCATGATATCAAGTGGTGTACTCGTGCCAAGTTCTTGGACTACATGTCCGACTCCATGAGTATCTACCCCTCACCAACTGGTGTTATGATCAGCATGGATCTAGCCTATAACCTGTGGTCTGCATATGGCAACTGGTTCCCCGGTATGAAGCCTCTGATTCAGCAAGCCATGGCCAAGATCATGAAGGCCAATCTGGCATGCCACGTCTTGCATGAGCGTATTCGCAAGGGTCTCCAGTTGTACTCTTCTGAGCCCACAGAGCCTTATCTCAACAGCCAGAACTATTCGGAATTATTTTCAAACCAGATCATTTGGTTTGTCGACGACACTAATGTGTATCGTGTCACTATCCACAAGATGTTCAAAGGTAACTTGATGACTAAACCGATTAACAGCGCCATCTTTATCTTCAACCCACGTTCTGGACAGTTGTTCCTGAAGATCATCCACACCAGTGTCTGGGCTGGCCAAAAGCATCTCAGTCAACTCGCAAAGTGGAAGACTGCTGAAGAAGTGGCTGCATTGGTTCGTTCACTGTCTGTTGAAGAACAGCCAAAGCAGGTCATCATCACTCACAAGGGCATGTTGGACCCTCTCGAGGTTCATTTACTTGATTTCCCGAACATAGTTATCAAGGGAAGTGAGTTACAACTGCCCTTCCAGGCTTGCATGAAGATGGAGAAGTTCAGTTCCTAGTAAGTGGGTCCATGCATATTTACATCTTCATTGCTGATGCTGTTTCTCACAGCGTGCCACACAACCTCAAATGGTACTGTTCAGCTTGTACGACAACTGGCTCAAGTCGGTGTCCAGCTACACTGCCTTCTCTTGTCTTATCCTCCTCCTTTGTGGCTTGCACGTCAACAATGAGAAGGCGAAGATTATTTTGCACCTGGACAAGTCAACCATTACAGAGCCTCACTTCGTCTGGCCCACTCTTACAGATGATGAATAGATCAAGGTTGAGGTCACAATGAAGGATCTTATACTGGCAGTAAGTAATATCACACACTTTTTGAACTTTGACTCATCGAGTCCAAGGATTTCGGCAAGCGGAACAGCGTCAACATCGTGTCCTTGACTGCGAGTGAAATTTGTGACATCATTCTTGGTCAAGAGATTGCCACTCCCTCTGTACAGCGCCAGCAGATGGCTGAGCTTGAAAAGAGTAATGAGGCGCAGGGTGTTACCGCTGTGCAAACTCAGACCACCAATGTTCACGGTGAACATCATGACAACCAACTTCAGGTGTTTAGTAGCAAATCTGATTGGCGTGTCCGTGCCATCTCTGCTACACATCTTCCTCTCCATCTCCAACATATCTATGTCTCCAATGATGATATCAAGGACGACGCTGCTTCATACACCCATGTATTGCTGAAGAACATCCTGTGGGCATTCATCACTGCAGCAGATCTTCGCACTCAGGTTGCGGCCTTCCTGTACAGTGTATCACCAAGCAGGTCAAGGAGATCAATGAGTACCTCGGCGTGAAAGTAACAATAGCGTTGAGCTGCCCAACCAGTTGCTGAGGGACAACTTCCTTCTCAAAGATCTCGGACCTTCTGGGTGGGTCAAGACGCAAGCACTTGAACTCAGTCATCTTTCTCCCACAGACATCACCATTCAAGCCAAGCTGATGTCTGAATCCAAGATGCCTGTACCTGGTTTGGATCCACATTACGGCTGACAGAACACAATATGTAACGTTTTTTGGCGCTGCCTTGTTGTTTCCGCATGGCCGCAAATAATTGATGCTTAGGTTGACGGTCGCAAGTGCTGCTTAACGGGAGGCAACACTGTAGGCACATTGCGGTTGGACCACGGCCTTCAAGTTGTCTTAGTACTAGTAGGTCCCTGCATCAACTCTCCCCTTTTTATATCAACTGTTCACAATCGCAGTAGTTCAATACCTCCCTTCAAGCTTACTGCTCATACTCATCCTGCTTGTCATTTGTTGAGGACCTCTCATTTGACGACGCTCTCCTGATAGATACCAGGACTGTAATCATCATGCCATCAGATACTCAATCTACAGCTTACAAAAAAGCTGCTGCATCCGTGCCTTTGAAGGATTCATTATCAAGGACGCCACATGCCATTGACTGGTAGGTCCCACCACGTGTTCGTCCCTCTATTTCTTCCAAAGAGAATGTAGGCAGTGCTGCATATACTTCTTCATCATCTACTGCATCTCCGGCACTTGAAAAGCACGAAGAATCTGCAGGCACATCCACACTCCTTTCACAAAGTTATTCCAGGCGCAGCAGTCTCCAGTTTCGCTCTCAATCTAAAGATCACGCTTCATTTGTAGAGTCTTCTGAGATCAAACGTGTCAAGAAACCCAAAGAGAGATTCTTGGCCACATTCTTTCGCAAGCTCTTCTGCTGCATCAGAGGTGATTCCCGAGCTCATGACATCGATGTCGATGGTGTGGCAAGCATTGGGTCGGGTCCTACTTTACTGGCTCACAAGACCGCAGACAATGCTGTGAAGCAATTTTCTGAAAAAGCACTGGTCGCATTGGTAGTTCCGGTCGCATCCTCAGGTCAACCTGCTGTACCTCTTAAGGACTTGCTAGAGACTGCAGGCGCTACCAGTAGGGCCGTACAACTGCCAGGTTCTTCTGTTCCTGGTCAAGTATTAAAGACCTCTGCAAGTCGCCCATCCGAACATGGTAACGAGTCAGATGATGTTTCGTTTGATGAGTTAAGTGAGGAAGATGAAATGCTGATCAGGAATGGGGGTGCAGGCATTCTCATGGGCTCTGTGAGTGGATCTGTAGTCCAATGAATATATTTCTGACTTGGAATTTACAGGACAGAAAGCCATGGCCACTTCTCCCACCCATCGCACCTAAACATGTTGGCAAGAAGTGTTTAGTGCTTGACCTGAACGAGACCCTCGTCCATATTAACATCATGGTATATCTTTCACTCCAATTTTATACCTGCTTTTGACGTACCTTGCTGTCAGCCCATACCAGATCCAGACTTTGTCGTTCCTGTCCAAATTGAGCATCAATGGCACAACATGTATGTACAGAAGCGACCAGGAGTAGACAAGTTTCTTCGGCAGATGGGTGAGCTGTACGAAGTAGTAGTGTACACTGCAAGTCTGGGTTCCATGCATTCATTACAGGTGGCCGGGTTCTAAAATTTAACTGATGTCTTTCTCTTCCTTGTTTCGTCTCATTTAGTATGCAGATCCAGTGATGGACCATCTCGATATCTACAATGCCGTTTTGCATAGGCTTTTGAGTTGGGCTGCAAGAACATGGATAATTCTGCCAACCTACATATACTGCACCAGTGGGTAGGGCAAAAAGTTTCTGCTGGCATAAGGTGCCGTCCTAACACTTTCTTTTGATACTTAGGGTCTGTCTACTGCTGTGGGGGCAGTAGTCTCTGATATAGACCTCTAGCTCGCAGCATAAATATATTTGTGGGCTATATATATCGATAATTTACTTATGATATCTATGGAACTTGTCATTGTGGTTGCTTTCTGGTCTACTTGTTGAGTTGAGGGCGCTGATGACTACGTCATAAAACTCCCAAAAAGGAAGTTTGGTTTGATTGTCTTTGTACTCTCCGTACTACTACGGCACAAACAACCTTCAGTCACAGGTTCCTGGCTTGAACATGGTAAGCTCAACTGTGCCTCTTGGACATGCTCATGATCAAGAGTCTAACACGGTTTAGACAACTTACAGTTCTCAGCAACAGATTCTCAATCATGCGGTTGGTATTTGGCCAATGCAACTTCCGCGGTACGCTGAAGTGATGATGCTGTGAGTACCCGTCTGCGAGTAGGATTGCATTCAATTGACTTTTTCTGCGTACAATTAGTGATGATATACCTGAAGATACTTCCATTGGTAGGAAGAAAACTGATGTCCCTAGGTTAGTTTCTTTTCTTCATAATGGATTCACTTCAATGCCATCAACAGGCCCTTAAAATATGGGAATTGGGAGGAATTTGTCCACCTGTTAGGTGGTACATACTACTATCATAAGGACAAGGTGAGTGCTGCCTAGCTAATCGTATAAGTGATAAACTCAATAAAAATTTAGGGAACATATACTTCGGTAAACCTAAGGCAGTACCAGGATCTCCAGAAGATCGATGACTTTGTCGATGCATTACGAGTTGTGACACAAGAAGATGTGTGGATACTGGTTGTTCATCCAACAATGTTCAGAGGAGAAGAAAAGTTCCAATATTACTATGTGGTTCTGGACCAGCATATCATTGCCTGGATAGAGGAACTAAACGGTTACCTTCTTTTCCGCGACTGTGTCCAGCCAAGCCAATGGGAACATAAGAGTCAGTACCTTATCTTTGAATTTTTCTTTGAGACCGATTGCAATCATGTAGGACTTGAACTTGAGGCTCAGTATTGGTAAGTGGTCGGATGTGCCAACCTGATTGATCAAAAGACTTCTCACTGTCGGCAGGAAACACTTTGAATTCTTTCCACAGCAGTCGTCGATGGATGTTTCGGTTGTGAGAAGCGTACAGAGAGAAATTATTTGCTATATTGGAGGCAAGCTTTATATCACAGGGATGGCAAGAATCGCTTAGCAGGCACAGAAGCAATTACGTTGAGTCAATCCACAGCCGGTTCGATATTCTGGACCCTGGAGCAAATGGAGCAAATCATTGAACATCTAGCCAGTATCGGTTCGTACTTGTATCTAGTCCTGCATAGCATTTTTATAATGAAGAAACAGAAGACCTTGCAGACAACAGGCTCATACATGAAACCGGTATCGTGTTCTGTTGTATGTGAGCCCTGGAAAGCTGAATTCAAGTACTGATATCCCAATTCACAGGTAGAATTTTATACATCTTACGTGCATTGCTTTCTCACAAACCCTATCGTCATCAAGTAAATGAACATTTTAGGGCACCATCAGTATCTTAACTGCCACAACCAACCAGAAGCTCGACTGATTCGGAACCATGCAGTGAAAGAGAAGCGTAGAAACTGTAAACTTCTTTGTTTCATGAGCAATACTGCAGCTACAGTCTTCTGCATGCCGGTCACGATCAAAAGTGTCAAGAGGACTTCCGTTGATGGTATCGTGAATGGAGTGGAGGTCAAAAACTTTGTCGACAATCTTAGCAATCAGACGAAAAGTCAAATTACCTTGGTAGGCACTACATCAATGAGGGTATCCACCCACTTATTCACCCACAGGCTGGTGTCTCCATGGCCTTGGACATTGCCATCCTTGCTGTTCCAGGTTTAGGCACAACAGTAACCTCACAGACATTATGTTCTTGCTCTTTACTTTTCGGTGTTGGCTGCATTTTTGCTGGCATGATGGTGCAACATTTCAGCGAGAGAATGAGATCCATTGACTTTGTGGTTCGATTCACACTATTTTTTCTCAAGAACAAGCCTGATATTACTGACTGGACAGGTATATTACCTGCAAAAGAGGATGGCGATGCTTGTCGTCATTACAAGCATACTGACTTCTTTTTGTGTATTGAGGTAAGCAAACTTCAATCATGATTATTTGTGTCACTTATGGTTCGGTAGTATGACAAGCTCCATCCTCGGATTCTTCGCAGGTGTTGCTTCAGACTTCAGACCATCTACACCTCTAATGATTGTGTGCTTCACTACGCTCGGTGTTGTGGTAGGTTCTTTAATTATATTGGTGATTGCTAGTTACAGTCCTGGCCTGGCCAGGATACGGCCGCAGTAACATCTTGTCCTGAAATTATTCTGCGAGAGTATTGCAAATATAGGATGGATATGTCCCGCACGAGTTGCATTACGAAGATAGGAGTCACCAATGTTGTCTGCACCGCAACATCATGCGACACGGTAACACTACGGTATTTTTTCTGTACTTAGGTCCTCAAATTTGTTGTTGTCATCCGCTAAGAAAGACAGTCAGTTTATTGAAGGGGAGCACACACCGGACATACATTGAATGGGAGAAGGGGCATCCCATGTGATCTGACCAGGAGATGTACTGGTTACATTTGGCACATATTCCTGCAAGATTCTGGCACAATAATTTTCTTCCAGCCAATGCAACCTGTATTTTTTGTACAGCTCTTCAAGTCGCGTGCAACCCAACTCTGCACGTCACAGTCGTTCTTTAACATCAGCCATGGACTCCTCATGGCTCTCTGTCATAGGGCAGTCCTTGTCAATATTTACCTCTCTGATCTATGATGAGCTTCGAAAATGATTGATGATAAGGTAGACAACATTTTGATTCAACCACTGTGCCGCATTGCTTATGTCATGTTTCCCACGGCCAAATCTGCCAGTTGCGATCTTTTCTTTTGCCGTTGCCTTGTCAAAATCATATACGCTGTAGTCAGTCATATCTTTCCTGCTGTGTCTAAAGCCTCCAAGATAGAATTCGGAACGACTCAATGTCCGTGATATTTCCTCATCACCCAAACTGCCTGTGGCCCTGTAAGACCCTTGGTATATGCATCCATGAACCTTGCGGAATGATTTGCATACCTGGAGACAGTGTTGTTAGATGTGGTTGTTTGGCTGAAGATTGTTTCAAGCTTACCTTCGGATCTGCAATAACGGAATATCATCAAGACATGCACTGACATGCTTTTCCATATCTTCCATCTTGTGGACCCGAGGACCCGAGCGATACAGAAGCTTGACAGCACCCCAATATTGCTCAATAAAATTGAGCTCGCAGTGGAATTTGGGATAGAAGTCACACAGATGTCCATGGGCAGTGATGAGTTCTTCGAGATGTGATTTGATGTTCTGAAAGTCAGGTTGATTGAACAATGTGCGATGACAGCAACAATCAATGGCACCTTCGGCGCATTTGAAGTCTTTGCATTATGCACGAAGCCCTGCTCGCCAGAGTCCACACTCATCCAGAATGACTTGCATGCCTTTGAACCACCCAGGCATTGTGGGGTGATTGTCTGGAAAGTAAAGGTTTTGTTGTGTTCCATCTTGTAAGGTTGTATTCCGCATTTTTGGTCCATTTGGGTGACACGTCCACCCAAGCTTTGGGTTTTTCACCATCTTTCTTGCACTTGGGGCATCAGGTGCCCATTTCTGATGCGATGTTGCATTGTCAAACAAGAACAGGGCTCGTTTGAAACCGTGAGTCTTCTCCTCGAAGATATCAATTGCATTATCAACTTGTTTCACAAGGTCATCGTTGGTGAAGTATCCATCTCGATTTTTACCTGGCTTAAACAGCACTCGGGATTCACTGCGGAGGCAAAGTTACAATTGGGAATGATGGTAAATCTTCAATGCACCTGTTGCCATGCCTCAACTCTCCCCATTCTTCAGTCAACATGCCTGAAACCATCAATGAGGGCCCTTCACCCTTTGTCTCTGGTTGCTTTGTGTCTTTGTGGTCCCATTTCGTCTGTCGTCTATCATGCATCATGAATGTAGATTCGTCCTGGGTCACTTTGACGAGTGGGTAGATTCCAGCAGCAAGATCAATTCCAGTGGGCAGGGATAGGACATTTCCATTAGTGATCGTAAGTTGTCATCCATTTTGAATACTTGTTCATGCGGATCAAAAATCCTTTCCGATATTCAACCACATCAGCCCGCTTGTGGCCATCAATGTACATTCCTTTTGTTGCCTTCCTGTATCTCCAATCCATCTTATGCAGCCAATGCTGACCTGTCCGAATGGTGATGCCAGTCTTCGAGCCTAGGTACTGTTTCATCTCTGCAGTTGCCATAATATCCATAATGTCTTGTGCTTTCACGTAGCCATCCTTTGCAATGCCTTGGAGGTGGAGATGTATATGTTGTGCAAGGTCCTCATCTTGAAGGATAGAGGTTCCCATTCGGCTATATCTATGGAGGGGCAGTGTCCCAAATCGCATGTAGTCCACAACCCATCTGCATAAATTTCAGGCATGATTGACCCCTCTTCCAGTTGCTTCTGCTGCAAGCTTAGAGCATTTCGTCCACCCAAATCCAAGCTCTGGATCAATATACAGACTGATAAGAGCAATCATACTGGTGACACGAGCACAGATAAACATTTTGAGATTATCTTTCTTGTGCCTCACTATCAATTCAGCCTTGGCTCTTCGCAAAGCTGGGAGATCTCGATGATCCAGAAGGTCAAATGTGGCTGGGAACTTGGATTCTGCATCTGAATCAGCTGCAACATCAGCTTGTGGATCTGTGACTCGTTTGGACTGAGATGGCTGTTGGGTCTCAACAATATCCGGATCTGCTGTGACATATCTGGTTCCTTGCACCTGGTTGCCATTGGTAATCTGACGGAAAATCATTCAGCATATTCCAATTTCACATCCGTTATTTTGCACCTGTATTCTGTCTTCCTGTTTGCTGCTCTCAGGTTCTGCATTTTTTTGGAAGAATGACACTATGGATGGGAATCCAGCAGCCTCCATTTTCTTTCCCTTGAGTCTCTGCCTCCGTTTTGTCTGGTCTGAGTTTCCCATGTAGACTGGTTTTCTCTTTGTGGCTTCTCATCTTTCCCTCTCCTTTCTAACCATACTGTCATGTGCTGCTGGAGTTTGGCAGCAAAGGCAAGAAGGTCTGAATCTGTTTGAATTTCCTGCACAACCTCATCTTCACTGTCCTCCAACTCAAGATCAGAAGTGTATGCTTCTGACTCGGAGTCACAGTCTATTCCAGGCTCTGATGTGCTTGACTTGACAGGTTCTGGTGCTTGGGACTTGACTTTAGGGGGATTTTTATGCAGGTTCTTGAGCCTATTTTTAATGCAGGTCTTTCTGTGACCCCTAGCTGGCTTATTGAGATTTGTGAGCCAATCTCCTGGTAGACTTTGCTTCGCATTTTTAGTGGATTATGTAAGATTATATATCACGTGACATGGCCAAATTCTCAATGTCAAATTTATGTTCTCTCATCAGTCTGTGTTTGAAGACTATTCAAGGTGTTTTGGACACTTTTCATAAAAGTTGAAATAACATCACAGGAAATAAATATTCTTTGATTTTTTTTCCATCACATTGTAGCCAAAGGTATCTGGAATGCATTCTTGCATGCTAATAGGCTCTAATGTGCAGTATGTTTGTGAAATAACCTGTACACGGAGGTGATACAAAATGTGGCTGGATTTGGATGTCGTCCACCTTAGTATCTGACACTTACCTTACGCTGGCGAATTCCTCAGGCTTGGACCTGCCACTTTGTTTGTTAGTGATATTGTGCACTAACTCAATCCTGACACATAGAATTAGCAAGTCCAGTCTTTGACAAGTAAGCCATTAAGTTTACCGGAGGTTCAGATTAATAACATGTCCAGAGATCTGATACGATGATGATTGTTGCATATCCAGGTTCAGCATAGGCAATGGTAGCCTAGCTGTGATATACAAGAAGATGCAAAGTCCAAGAACACTTTTATCCTTCGAGTCCTTTATTAGCACTTTTTTTGGACCATGGAGCTTATCACCATCAATTTTACAAAAGGTTACTTGGTCCCGACTCCCGGTAGGCCATCCCATCATTGTGGCTACTAATACCTAGCTGTCACTCACCCTGGCCACTGCTTGACTGGCATCAGGCACCCCGCAATTTGATGAAAGGTTGTTCATTTCTGGCAGGCCATCCTGGCCCATAATCACTGCGGCTACTGCCTAGCCATCAGCCACCCTGGCCACTGCTTGGCTGCTATCAGGTACGCCACTTACTGGAATATCATGTGGTGCGCTGCTGGAAATAAAAAGCTAGATTTTAGTATCTGTGATGCTCGAGCTACTTTTGACTCGCGAGCTCTCATGACCACGCAAGAGACCATATCTACCATTCCGAGCAAGTGTGCTACATCGGCCCTTCAAATGGGACCCCGCAAAAAAGCATATGCTTCCCTTGTTTGACACAGGTTTTGCAGACTTATTCTGTCGCCCAGCTCTATGTCCGATCCTCTTATATCCCATGGGCGTCACTTCGGTCGAACAGTATTTGCACTATGTAATTATCCTTCTCTACTCACCAACAGCATCCTTAGATTGGAGCAGATGGAAGATACTCCTTTGGAAGACTTCCCTGCTGAGTGAAACACATTGTCTCTATTGACTTACTGTTGTCTGATTTTTTGGTAGAGAACGACGAGAACATCGAGTTTTCGAACAGCTCTTGGACTCTTATCCCGGCCTGTTGGAGTGACTGAAAACCGGGTCTGAGGAGGAAATTATTCATGTTGGAGAGCTGGTGAGTTGTTTTCTGCATGGCTAGACTTTGTGCTTACAATTCATAGATCGGTAAGGGAGCTGCAGGTGCGAGAGGTGATGATACGAAAATGTTGAAGACTGCAGTGCTCGATTGGATTTCTCCGAAAGGGGCAGCAATTCAGCCCCCCCCCCCCTACACAGGAACTCAAAGATCAATCGGGGATTCAACCACGAGCTCACCGGATCACTGCTTTGTCCTGCTGGGTTGGACTGGAAGGACACAGAGTATGTTTTCTTTTTCTTTTTTCTAGCATTGGTAGTCCTGACAACATTTTTTGCGCTTGATTCTCAACAGAACGAGAGAGAACCTCCGAAGTGGCGAAATGTTAGTCTGTGGGGACCAATGGCCCATTTTCTTATATGCCCACCATACATTTGATGCGGATGACCCATGGTGCGGTCTTCTTAGGAGCCACTTGTTGGTATGTGTGAGTAGGCAAATGTATTTTTACATAGTTCACTACTGATTGCTTGCACGTCAGGCCTACAAGCATGTCTTTACATCTCCAAGTTCGGTCGACAAAGAACCAAAAGCCACGTGGTCTGGGAATGCTCACCTTCATGGCATGAATTCTGTCACCATCGCGTCCATAGCTTACATTGCAACTCAGGTTCGTCGATGCATGTCTTTCTCGTTGAATAGCTGATAGCTGACATACATGCAACCGAAGGTCCGATTTGCTATAAGTTCTTCTTTGGTGTTCTCAAGGACTGACACAACAACCAACTCAGAAACGTTTTATCATAGCCTCCTCAACCTCTTCAAAGATCCTGAGGAATCTAAGGAGGTTGATGACCTACTCACTTGGTGGAATCGGTATTTTTTATTACTCTTTGTTATATCACTGAGGCTCATGCATTGTTATGTGCCAGCCAAGTGTTTCCCACTTCCTCTGCCACTAAACGACCTATCAGCGCCAACAGTGCCTTATCGAAAATACGGCTCAAACGTCTTGTGATCAAACAAGCTACAGATTCAAACTTAATTTCATCGTAGTCTTTCTAGAAACATGTTTTCGTATAATAAATTACAACTAATATAAGCATAAGCATGTTGTCGTCAACTAGAGCACTCGAGTGACCAGAAGATAGACCTACAGCCAATAATGATCTGAAATAAGCTGAGATAAATTGTAATAGCCCTACCTCTGCAACAAGCTAGCAGATGGTACCACGTCGTCATTGTCCCGCACTCTTGTAACGAATGCAGCTCGGTCCAGAACAAACTAACGTCGCAAGGCCTTATATAGTGTCAGAGTTTATCAAGACTTCATGGAGAATAGACTGACTAACCCACCTTACACCTAATGACCATACCTTGGCAGTGAGCTGGCAGATAGTATTGCGTCGTCATCGCCCCGCATCCTTGCACCAAAGGGAACTCGAACCAGAACACACTAACGTCACAAGACCTTATCTAGTGCCAGAGATTATCAAGAGTTTGTAGAGAACAGAATGACAGACTCACCTTGGACCTAATGACCATATCTCAGCAGTAAGCTGGCAGATGGTATCGCGTCATCATCGCCCCGCATCCTTGCACCAAAGGGAGCTCAATCCAGAACACACTAATGTCGCAAGACCTTATCTAGCGCCAGAGTGCATCAACAGTTTGTGGAGAATGGACTGATTGACTCACCTTGCACCTAACAACCATATCTCAGCAGTGAGCTGGCAGATGATACCACATCATCATCACCCCACATCCATGTACTGAAGGGAACTCGGTCCAGAACACGCTAATGTCACAAGACCTTATCTACTGCCAGAGTTTATTAAGATTTTGTAGAGAATGGAATGACTGACTCACCTTGCACCTCATGACCATACCTTAGCAGTAAGCTGGTGGATAGTACCACATCATCATCATTCCGCATCCTTGTACCAAAGGGAACTTGGTCCAAAACAAACTAATGTTGCAAGACTTTACCTAATGCCAACATCAAGGGAGGATTTGTCAAAGTTCCATTGAAAAGCATAGGTTGCATGTGATATGCGGATTGAAACTGCATTATAATCGCTTTACACATTTGGGCCATTGGCAGCTTTGATCCAAAGCAGTCCGGCCATATAAAAAATTATCTGATGTTAGCATTCATCTAGAGATTGCGCAACAGCCAAAGGTCACATACCACAACCAGGGCATGGCAGAATGATAGTGTATCACCGCTAGTGCTCAACTAGGTGACTGTGGTGACTTTGGGCAACTTAATAATTCATTCTCACGGCTGGTGGGTATTGCAATCTGTTGACAAAATGGCAAATAATTGCAACGAGACTGCACAAATGTGCATTTGGTGGTTTCTATCCAATGTAGTCCAGGTATTCAAAGCTCTGTCATTTGAAGTACAATTGTGATATATATTGTACGAATTTTACTTTAAATAAACCTTTCTAACACTTTACCATTTTCGCGTCGCTTTCCTGATGAAGGAAAAGGTAATCGTAAAAAAGAAACTATAGTAACGTGAAGCAGGCAGGGTCTTGGGCCAGCACTTCAAGTTGTAGTGAGACACCTAATGTCGTCAACACCTCCGTATACTGGCGGCTGCAATGTAAGGCAGGGCCTGGTATAGGACTACTAACTACAAAAGACTATTGGTAGAAAATGCTCAAGCGAGCAAAGGAAAGGTTTCCAGAGAAAAGGGTCACGGTTGTTTAGACCGGGCAAGATAAAATGTGTAATGGATGTTAGATGTATGTCTCATGCAAATGTGCTGCTGGGAGACACATGTAACGACGAATAGAGATGATCGTTTGAATCGTTGGTCAACCGATTGGTCAGCCAAGGCTTCAAAGGATATAGTAATGGATGCGAGCGGTATGCGAGAGTTGGAGTCTCCTATAGTTCAAACCTAATGTCACAACCCAATAACGAATTAACGCTGGGCAGAGACTAGGACTCGGACTAAGGTTATCACAACAGAAAGGATGATGAGCAAGGACGTCTTGGATTGCTACAGTGTAGATACAAGAGGTTTGAACTAAGGAACTATCGACCAAGACATGCTACCTATATACAACTATTGAAACTGAGATTGAAACTGAGATATAACTACTAGCCAATCATAAAAAAGGGAAAGGGAATCGTACCATAGAACATCGTAGAATATTAAAGAAGTATCACGTGACCATATCTTATCTTATTGTATCTAATCTAATCTATTCACAATCAAAGAACTCGTCTTCTTCATCAGTCACATCGAAGACACGTGTTGTGGGCGCTAAAGGTATTTCGGGAATGATAGATGCTTTCAGGGTAGGGTTAGGGTTTATCTTAGGCGCTGTGTATTGACGTTTAGGAAGATTCAAGAAAGAATAGTGGTTTGTTAAAGGTACTCGTGACACCGTCATACTCCGTCACTCGTTATACTCACGCATACCGCTCGCAATCCAACACTCGTTATAAAGTTCCGACCTATTGTCGTGAAGTCCAAAAGTCCAAAATCTCGGACATCGCACTTTGGCTTCGGACATTGGATAAGTACCTTCAGACATCATCAGATTACCTTCGGACATCGTTTCGCACCATCGGACATTCTGTTCTTTGCATTTCTGACACATTTTTACTACTAATACCAATTAGCAATCCCTTTAGGATCAAACGCACTTGCTCTGCAAGTATAGCAGCATAGGTCGTGCTAAGATCTACCTAAACATTGTTGACTAGGTAGTACAATTTCTGCTGAGCCCAGCAGAGATTAACTCTTTAAAACGGGCTGATGTGCGAGGCATAGTTCATTGTTATTGATCAGGAGATCAATGATATGTTATCATTTACCTAATATTATTTCTGGTGGAGCTTAAAATGTCATAGCTGTCTTGTGTGCCGTCTTTGTTCTTTGCTTTTGACATGTCAGCTTTGAGGACATTAATATGGCACGTACAGTGTACCCACTTTGTATGGACCCTGCATATCAACTACCGCCTTCCAACAACCACATGGGGTGCAGAAGACCTCTGCCAGTAAGACATAATTAGGGTGATTTTGATGGTCATAGGAAGGCATACCTGCTGGTGAGTTCCTCCTCACGTTACTAGCTGACTCGTGGTTCATCAATGTCCGTTCTTTGGCAATGTATCAAGTTCCTGCACAGCAAGTAGTGAGCAGGAGGTATCAATCATTGGCACTGCAGCAGAGAGTTAACATTGTGGGTGTATTTTTAATGTCCAATGTGCCATCTGTTAGCCACCAGAGGGCCAGTTTCAGTGATGCTCTTGATGACGTAGTACTATGACATTGGTGGAGCACTCTCCAACTTTCCAGATGAACGAGTACCACGAGCACTTCAAGGATATATCTTTGATAAATGTGCAGGAGCGTTCTAGATCTTTACCAGTGATTGTAAGGCTACCGTGACAGTACTTGAACATATTGAGACCGAGACTGACTTAATGCAATGTCATGGTGTAGCCTTACTCTGGCTCTGGTGAGTCTGTTTCCTTCTTCGCCAGTTTGAAAAATCGATGTTTACTGCATAGTGTTAATCAGTGCCCATACGATGGAGCCTTAACGTAAATTCTGTCTGACAGTTGCAATAGCTGGAATGCAGAACAGCCTCACCTTCTTACATTCACGATATTAGCTGTCCCACGCAAATTTGCCATTATTTCAGATTCAGCTCTTCTAAAGTTCTAGCCCAAAGGTGTCAGTGATGGTATTATGCCTACCCTGTGAACAGATTGACTACTAGGATTTGTCATCTGATTATGTTGTCATGGTCCCTCCATCAGTACACTCAGGCCTGGGTTCTATCGTACAGCATGAAGTGACATGATTTATTTCATGATGCACAATGCTCTCATCTTGGTCCCTAGATTTTCTGGATCATGTGCAATCCATGCCCAGACACCATGGAGACTCCTCATTTTGTATCAAGCACGTAGAAGACCAAGGACGACATATGTGCCTAGGAGAATGATGGTTTGTTCAGGCGCAGTCTCCCAAAGTGTTCTGAATTAACATTATCCACATTCGCTTTCCTGGTGAAGCGACATTCTCTGAGTTTAGCACCTTTTACCCAGAGGGGTGCCATGCACTGCCCTATGGCATGAAGTAACCTTTATTTGACAGCAGTTGTCTTGACTAACAATATCCACATTCACTCTACCACCGAGGCTAGATTTGCAATCATTGTATGTTCAGCCCTTTTGCTCCAGATGTATGTCACGCACTGTCCTGTAAGCATGACCAACAGCTGACATCGGTAGATTACATACGGGCCTGGTGCGCATAGTACTTCTGAGGGTGACCTCATCTTCTGTTCCAGATTCTGTGAATGACGGTCAGAAGTTAGAATACTGTCGAGACACCATCATGATGACTCCATGCTATTTCATTTTCTACCCAATGAGAGAACATCCATATCCGCACTATTCTTCAGATAGGGGTTGTCTAGTGGTTTAAAAGCAAGACTCATTTCCTGCTTCACTTTTCATCACATCAATGACCTTTGTAGTACCAAAGTGAGTTACAGTCAGTAGCACCTCCATGACTTCTTGTATTCATTTCACTTCTTATAGCGACCATGTCTGAATCACCAGCTGTTTCACAGTCCACAAATATGTCCGACCTTCTGCCCACCAATTTCATCGGGACCACTATGAGCGCACTGCAACACGATGATGGGAAACTCTGTGTCTACTTTCAAAACAAAGACTACCAAATCTATGAAATGTTGTTGAATGACCTGAAGAGCACGAGCTATACCCTGCTCAAACTCACTAACAGCAACATACCTGCTGCTTGTATCAACACGCCCATTGCAGCCGTGGCAAGTAACAACTTACAGGAGGTACATGTTTCTGAGGCCAGCCATTCGATCCCATGTAATTTTATCATTGCAGATTCGTGTTTATTACATCACTGTGAACAGCCATGTGCAGGAGCTTTGTTACTCCCAGCACCATGGTTGGCAGAAAGACACGAATATTGGCACTGCTGTTGAGAACAGCACCTGCTTGTATGCACAAGGCTGGTTCATTCCCAATGATACCTCGCTCAGGGTCGGGTTCCAGTCCATGACTGCTCCCCAGACCATCACAGAAGGTTACTACACTGTGAAAGATGAATGGAAGACCCGTGTACTCTAATTTGGATAGTGTACTTCTGCTTCCCTGCGCAGAAAGTGATCATGTCACTGGGATGTATCAGTACTATTAATACCAGAGGTTTGTATGTACGCAAGACAATAGGCATGAATCAACGAATTCAGACTTGTGATCAGACTGAGATGACTTTAGAACTTTTTTTTGACATGCATGAGTCAGGCCAAAAACACACCACAGATTATAATATTGTGTGATGCTCGAGAGAAATTGAGCTGAGCTGCACGTGATCGCGTTTGAACCTAAAAAGGCTTACTAAGCTGACCTGCTTCTTGTTGACTACGTTTATGTTGTCCCCACAGCTTTCGGACTGTTATTAGAAAATAGCCGCATCGACTATAAAGGTGTCTGTGTTTTTCGTCATTGAACCCTGTTAATTGTCTATGACACTGTCTGATATGACGCTCTTCACTGGCCATTCAACAACCCTCCCACCGTTGATCTGCACACCCTCCGAGTCTGCTCTTCCCAGTCACAGCATCATCTTCAATGTTTATGCCGGTTATGTGTTCAAAGTAGCAACCATACGCCATAAGGAATACAGCCTGTCACACTATCGGCAGCGATATAGGCGATGCAGAACGACATCAACAGCATAGGGCTCCAGCTGGTGATATTTCAATTGTGTCATCCGAATATAATTACATCAATATTATCGATATTCAAATACAGTTGTCACATCATCCTCGTGAATGAACCATCCTTTCTGCATGCAGGCCTGGGTGGGCATGTCACTTATTTGATGGCACACAATGACTGTATCGTCTGGATCATGGTCGGATCCGCGTCCAGACACTGTGAGACCCTCATTTCATTTATTCTTCAAGTGGGCTGAGTGCGACTTAAGCACCCTCGCGAACAAGTGTACGCATTTTCTGGCCCGGAGGTGCGTCACATGTTGCCCTGCGAGCGAAGTGACTGACTATCATCTGACTATGTAGTCAAGGTTTTTGCATTAAATGCGGGCCTGGGTGTGCGTAGTACTTCTGAGGGCCCACGGTGACCTCATCTTTTGTCCCAGATTCTGTGGATGACGGTCAGATCCGTGCCCAGACACCGTCATGGCTCCATGCTATTTTATTTTTTTTCCCAGCAAAGAAACATCCATATCCGCACTATTCTTCAGATAGGGGTTGCCTACCGTTTAAAAGCAAGACTTATTCCCTGCTTGACTTTTCATCGCATCAACGACCTTCGTAGTACCAAAGTGAGTCACAGTCAGCAGCACGTCCATGACTTCTCATATTCATTTTCACTTCTTGTAGCGACCATGTCTGAATCACCAGCTGTTTCACAGTCCACAAATATGTCCGACCTTCTGCCCACCAGCTTCGTCGGGACCACTATGAGCGCAGTGCAACACGATGATGGGAAACTCCGCGTCTACTTTCAAAACAAAGACTATCAGATCTACGAAATGTCGTTGAACGACCCGAAGAGCACGAGCTATACCCTGCTCAAGCTCACTAACAGCAACATACCCGCTGCTCGTATCAACACGCCCATCGCAGCCGTGGCGAGTAACGACTTACAGGAGGTACGTGTTTCTGAGGCCAGCCGTTAGATGCCATGTAATTCCATCATCACAGATTCGCATTTTTTACATCACTGTAAACAGCCGTGTGCAGGAGCTTTCTCACTCCCAGCGCCATGGTTGGCAGAAAGGCGCGAATATTGGCATCGCATGTCGAGAACAGCACCTGTTTGTATGCGCAACAGCAATCTAGCCACGATGCCTGTGGCAGTCATCACGAGGCCATGCTCAGAGTCGGGTTTCAGTCTGCGGCTGCTCCTCAGACTATCACAGAGGCGTATCGTATGAAAGACGAGTGGAGGACTCGTGTATTCTAAGCTTGGGGAAAATGTTAGTTTGCATTGTTCAAATACCAAGAACGTGCAGAAGTTACGGGTCAAAATTGTTGTAGGTACTGTATGTAAACACCCGTGCTATGCCTCTAAAATGAACATCTTGGTCCACCACACCACCGTGTCCGTCAGTTATGCCATGTACGACCCGCCTGTGCTCCCGCCAGGTGCTGGATCTGACTAGGCCGGAGTTAGTCGGGAAGTCCTTGCCCATAGCGGGGGCGAGCAATATCCCAATGTCAATGACGGGCTAGTAGTGATACGGTGCAAAATAACTATCTGACAAGTAAGAAAGGAAAAGGTCAGTCACACGAGCGGATTCTAGTATTCAACCTCATCCCGCTGCGTCACGGTCATGCATGCATGCCACTGGCGCTAGCTTGTTGTTTCTCTAGCGTGTAGATCGGTAATTCATTTGGATCCGTACGAACTTGATGCTGGATTGACTCTATTGTGAAGAAAGACGAGTCGCTGAGAGATTTACATCTCGTTCAGTCACACCCTTTTCTGCGACAAGAATTTGGATGAGTAAAGCTGCAGTGTTAATTAGCAAGTAACGGACGTACACAGACGATTCTCGTGCCGGAATTTTTAGTGGCGCCTAGTAGCTTAAAGTACTTGTGACGTAGTCTGGTTGGCTGAATTCAAACTTACTTGCAGTGTCATTTGATCAGATAGTTGGAGAGCTTCTTACAGTGCTCACATTTCATCAGCCATCCATCGTTCACGGTGATTCTAAGCCTTCGCAGCGAAAATTGCCATACAAGTTGACAGATATTAAAAGTCAACTAGGATTACACCAAACGTTTCCCCAACGATCTTGAGCTGTACCTGTGCTTCCACCTCCAAGCACACCCTGTGTCCCGTCGATAAATCCGACACCGTAGCTTGTTGCTGCATTAAACCGTGCAGTCGGACATTTCATCCCCAGGAAATATGGACATGCGCGATCAGCAGCACTGCAAACTTCCAGACAAGGCAAGACCGTCTGGTATGAATATGAAACATTGGGCAGGAAAGGGTTGCGTGCGTTCGAACCGCTCTGAGGCGTAGTCAATGCTGGCACTGGGGACGATGGCGAGGAAGAACTTGATGGGGGCTCGGCGCATCGGGGGAAGGATACGGAACATAACCAAGCGCGATATGCTTCCTGACAGCTTTCACAGGTCTGCAAAGGGGAGTATAGGTCGCGCCCGCATGCAAATGTGAGAAGCATGGTCGTGAAGTTGGTCATATACTGAAGAAGGGGGTCTGATACGCTCTGTGGGAGATTTGAAGAGTCGTAAGATGATGCGGGGGATTGGGGGAAGGGAAGAGGAACAGCGTATGATGTAGATGGACAAAATGGAAGGGAGTGCACGAGGGGGCAGGGGAATGATGCTGATACGGAGACATAAGCGAATGCATGCTACACCAAGGGGGAAACGCACGAGATTTGGTAGTGAAATATATTGGTCCGCTCAATTTTACCTGGTCCTGGATAACATATGCGGTGTAGTTCGTGCTCGGTGTCAAGTCATCAATAAGCCATTGAGACCTCCACCCGTCGTTATTGCGCAGCCAGAGATCGTTGCTTACTACCAAACCTGAGGAGGAAGTAGAGTTGATGCTACATGCTGTCTGCATGCCAGATGCAATACCGGAGGAAGTGGGCGCGATGACGAGAGATAATGCAGGAGGCGATGATGGCGGTGAAGGGTTTGAGAGGTTTGCAGGTGGAAGTGTATAGTTGGGATACGTGGACGGCGAGGATTCAATGGGTGAGATCGGAGGCGAAAATATCAGCACCTGCGTATTGGTAGTATCTCCCAGGAAAGGGAGTGCAGGAATTATTTCGTGCACAAGAGCTACTGGCAGTATGAATAACTATTGAATTCAAAGTTTATTCGGTGTACATACCTCCCGTCGATGCGACAACTTGAAATGAGGTCTGACCGACATTTTGTACGACTAATGATCCACCCTGCTGCGTGGTGCCAGTCCAGTTCCCGAATCCGCTATATAATTGGATTTCAAAAACATCGGTGGTAGACGCTGTGTTGTTGTTCACCAAAAATGTTGGAGATGTCGTTCCGGTGGAGCAAATGGCGACGGACACCGTCAGCTGCTGAGCCTGTGGAAGATAAAATGTAGGATCACTAGACAGAGAAGCTCCGGAAAAAGAATACAGAGTATTGAGAGTGAGTGACTCTTGTGCACTACTAACTTGAGCGAGTGCTGCGTGTATAAGATACCAAAGAGACCGTGAAAGTGTGCGCATCGATGAAGCCCGTGGACGTCGCGACGGTCAGCAGCCGTAAGTGAGTGCTGGGTGACTTTGGCAACAGATATCGTTGTCAGGTCACTCGATCGAGTAGGTTCGAGTTGAAGTGGCTGCACATGATGATGATGGCTGCAACTATTACTTACTTGTAACGAACTGTTTATGTAACTGTTAGTCACTCAAATTGAAGCTTCGTTCCGAAATCCATGCTAGATCTCTTCGAAATTTGGTGTCTTATGATACACAAAATTGAGCAGTGGGACGGCTGCTGAACATATGGTCACGGTATGCCTCTTTTTTTCTCGTTTTGTTGTTCAGCATACGTAGGTCCTGAAGGCCGCCCAAATTAAAACTTGTTTTTATCGCAGAGATCACTGAGAACCGGGTGCGACATTCAAGTTGTACACATGGCATGAATATCCTTCAAGTTACATCAATGTATCTGTTCTGGAATGTCTTAATACTAAGACAGACTTGGAGCTCAGCGTTGTCACCACCATGATATAGAATCCCTCGAAGATAGCGACCCTACCTCGTCAATTTTGGTCTCGCCACTAGTATTTGCAATCCCAAGACTAGTACTAGTAGGGTCAAATATAAAAATCAATATGGCATTGTAGCGGGAACGACGTCTTTCGTGAGTGTAAATATACATCGACGTCACGGTTTAGCGATTCATGACATTCTCTTGGTTCATTTCCTCATATTCTGTCGACGACTTAGGGTTGAGCATGGGTGAACCCGCGGGTCGCTGAATCCTCACCACACCCATACCCGCAAACACCACACCCGCCACGGTACGAGTGTACACCGACCCGCCAGTGTCGTTCAGGAATCATGATGCAGTCGTTGCGATGACGGCTCGACTCTAATCTATCTCGCGCATAGCGCTGCTTCAATACCGTCCTATCCTTTCAAGTAAGATGATCGAAGAACTCCATCACTCGGTGTGGGCGAATATCTCATACGAGGAAGATGGTCCATACGCTATCGTCGCTGTATACTCCAACGCATCTCATAAAACTCCGGAAGTATGATTCCTTTGGTTAAAGCCCACCTACGACACCTCGGACTACATTTGGGTTCTTTCGAGGTGGCACCAGCATCTTTTTCAGCTCCTTTTCTCATAGTATAGCTCGCGCTCTGATGATTTCAAATGGTATCTCCATTTTCTGGCGTGGGCGCAAGTGCTGACAAAAACATAGGTTTAACTTTTTACCGCACAGAGGCCTAAGAACGATCCTTGCCAGTACTCAAATTGTAACTCGGTTGCCCTGCTATGAAACGCGGTAGACTGACATATGCCTATTAATATTCAAGCTCGAACCAAGATGATCCGAGTCGATCCTCACAATCCGAAAGCTTGCAGATGAACTCTTCTTGCGGCCCATCATGATATTGATGAACCAGCATAGCCTTGATCCGTGATTTCGATGACAACCTGAAGGCCGGCGTCCCTACAATATCCGCCTTTCTCAAATTCATTCGCAAGACCAAGGTCATAATACCGACTTGTCACACGCTTGTTGTGTTGGCTTTCATCGAAAATTCATATATAATGGGAAGCTGCCTATTTGCCGCAGCTCTGGTGTGCATGCTTAAAAAGACGTGTCTTCTGAGCTCTCGTTTGCAATCCTTGTTTGTTGAACCTTGATGCACTTGAGTAAAGTGCAATGCACGTCCAATTACGATCGAGCTTTGAGGGGTTCTAGTTTTACAGAAAGTAGCCAACAACTATGGACACTACAAGAGACCATTCCTTCTTCGCACAGCTCATAATCTTGCCCTTGGTAGCGGAATTGCATCCATGATAACATCTGGACACTCGTATTGAATCCAGTGACCGATACCGGTAAGAGCTCTAACAGTCAACCTCTCCACGTCACAAGGGATGTGTTCCGAATTACAGATACCGACGCCGCACTTTGGGTCTGACACAAGCACGGTGATCTTCACGTGAGGAGAGACGTTTCTGAGCAGGTCCCCAAGAGACCAAGGACTGTTTTGCTATTCGAAACCCAGTCAGCAATGCTTTCCATTCCAACAGTCATGAAATTACCCGAAAAATTTCGACGGCCGTGCGATCGCACATGGAGAATCCCTGCGTTCTTAACATACAGTCACGGCGTGACCAAGCAGGATTTTTAGCCATGTGCACATCGATGGGCTTAATGTTCGCCGTTTCCTTTAGAAACTGATTTAAATTCATCTTGTTCTGTTCCTCTGTAAACTCGAGGCCAGGGTCAAGGAGGATAACAGTAGTTTCTTTCTTTTTGGGTAAGAATGGCAGTAGAGATACTGCCACTGCACCTCCAAAAGAATGAGCGATAATTACGTCGTAGGATGTGTCCATGACGAAATATGGTCGAAGGTCCTCTGCAAAAGCAGATATACGGTAGTCGGTATTGCCCCGCCTCCATGCATGGGCGAGGAGGTTCGGTGCTACAACAAAAAATCCTGATCAACCTGTTAACAAGGAAGAGCGTCACTACATTATATCGAGCCTGACCTTCTGCCACCAATAGCTGTGCGAGACCCTCCCAGGAATTCGATGACATAGTAATGCCATGAATGAGAAAAGCCCGTCTGGTAGCGGTCGGGGAACCCCACTGAGTCGCTGAAATGGTCATTTGTGCAGGCTGATATCAGGCGTTTTTTTGGGAGCGGAGAAGGATGTAGGAATGAGCTTCGGATCTCAGTCTCCATTTTAAAGGCAGAGGATGTACCTCGTCCGGAAAACTGGACAGTTGTGGAGGCAAAGGATGGGAAGAATGTGGCGATGGCACAAGGCTTCCACAAGCTCATAAGATATTGTAGACCGAATTACAAAATCAAATCCTATGGTTATCGATAATTGAATAGCGAACTTCCGAAGGCGTCACGGAACCTCTGCTTACTCAGTGAAGCGGGGCAACAACCGAATCTGTGAAGGTGGGCTCTGGCGGCGAGATGATTGTATGCGGTGAGAAAACATGTTAGATGTGTGACGTGTCAACCTAGGTGGAAAAGCCAAACGGACTCGGGGACTGTAGAAACCGGTATCAGGTGACTTTAGATAAAACTGGATAGAGAACTGGATAATACTCTGTCGAATTGCTGTGAAGCAGTGCGGCGGTGTCATGCTGCTTTTATTCATCTAGTATACAAAGGTAGCAGACTCAACGAAGACTGACATAACTTACGATGTGGTTTGATGACTAGTAAGCCTAGCTAGTGGACATAGCGTTGAAATGCTGTGCATTGGCAACAAGCCTGATAACCACCTTAGTAGGATCCTAGCAACTCCGAGGGACCGAGTCGGAGCTCGAGCGCTTAACACTGACAAAGCATCTTCCGGGTAATATTGTTGGCCGAAAGTATAGACTGGTTTACATTTCATGTACACTGTGCGTTCTCTACGAGTTCCCGAGTTTGGTCGTACTTCGATATCTGAGACTTGCGGAAAACTCAAGACCCTCTGTGGGAACAATTACCGCGCGCAATTCACGCTGAACCATAGAACCGACTTCATCATTGGGTAAAAGGTGCACCATCGGATAAATAATAACTGAAGGAACTGGGTGTGCTGCCAGGTATAGTACTAGTACTGAGCCTGGGGTGCCCGCGTGATACCGTGACCAACCAACATTTGATTCTGTTACCTCCTATGGAGTCAAGCTGGAGTCGCATAATTAGATTTATTGTACACTGGCTTACGGACTAGCGCCGTAACCGAAGGTCGGCTTCTGACTTGAACGTTATAAGTGTCCTGTGAACATTCCGAAGTAGAATCTCGGCTCCTACGTCACCAGCGTGTACCAGTGTAGCCTCCCCAAATCCAGTACTGTGTTCCTCAATCTCATAAACCAACTTTGTAACATAAATTTTGGTTTGACGAGTGAGAAGATTATGACAGGAACATGTAGACGCTGGTATATAATAGTAGTGAGGACGAAGTAGAACTGCAAGGTAGGAGAAGAAGAAATTTAGGATGCAGGGGAAATCACTGAACAATCCGAAGACGCCACTTAGCAATAATTGGTGGGAAGAGATAATGAGGATATCTACGAAGCGGGGCCAAAGCGACCAGTTGATCATCGTGAGGCACTGCGTCCTTGGCAGGACCCACCTGTCTCTTGGTATAAGGGTCTGTTGACCAGGGGACGCTAGAAGGGTAGGCGACAAGGGTTTCAAATCCGCAAAACTTCTCGACAGGGGCTACCGCTACCCTTACCGCATCGTTCCGAGTCTTCTTGTTCTGTTTAGAAGAATATCACTAAGCCTTCATACAGCCTAATGGAAGCAGATGGTATGTGCACGGCTGCAACCGAGTTTATACCTGACCAGCTACGTTTAGTACTCGTGACCCACCGGCAGGGTAATTTTACAGGTTAAAGGATATAGGGAGATGAAGTTTCATCTCCAGGTGTTCGGTCAGAATAATAAAAGCACTTAGCATGGCCATTTCCGAACTGCATTAGGAATCTTGTGGGGATTTTGGCCGACGTGCGAGGTCAAACAGGATGCAGAAAATTGTGTTGGGTTGCTCGGATTTAGAAAGTGCCAGGAAACCAGTCAAGGCCATGGAGGTCCATCCTGCTTCAGGCCTGGCTGCCATCAGAAGCTTTATCTCATTCTGATCCCTGTAACATTCTGTCTGCCTAAGCTAGTTCCTGTGTTGCCTGTTTCCTTACTGCCAACGTCATGACGTTGTCCGATGCAGCTCACGGCTGCCATGCCCTCCCTCCAGATGTGACTAGAACCGTGATGCCAAGCTGGCAAGGATGCCGATATTGGCATGATGATAGTTGACATGGATGGCCGCATCAGCGGGATGTGTGATGGTGGCTGTAGCAGTTGGGCAGCTGTGATGATGGAAGACACAATAATACGTGTTCAGACAGACATTTACCGCCCGATGTCTTTGTCCAAACTTTGGTGCACAGACTGATACAAATTGGTTATTTCCTCTATATCTTGCGTGGATTGTAGGTATTTGCCGCGCCGTCATTTATAGATTTAATTAATAAAAGTGAATGGTAGGCATTTGCCGCGCCGTCATTTAGAGCAAAAGGTGTGCTGGTGACCGATGACCTCGGAGGGTATCCACCATTACAAGAGAGTAACGACCAAGGCAGTACATACTCCGCAGGAGGTAGTGCAAGGTTTGAACGCAAACTTCGGCGGTACTAGGATAGCTGGCTTCACTCATGGAGTGACGTCTTAACCCACCGACGATGTATAATCTCCGATGAGGAGCTGGCAACGACACCTGTACTCGTTCTACCGTGGATGATCCATCGTGCGAAGCAAACAATGAGCTCACGACAAACTCAAATATCCCAATGTGAAAGCTGCGCGTGCTGGCAAGGGTTTATCATCGACGGCGTTCACACGAATGGTAAACATGCTTTCCGCAGAAGAGATATCATATTTTTGAAATTCCATCTCGTAATTCTAGAAGCAGTTGATTCGTGAGATTTTAGGTACAGAATGTTGATGACTAATATGGGCTAGAAGTTAGAAGTTATAAGGCCTGCGTTTGGGTCACTTGCTGCATCCTTTTTGACCTAAGCTTCACTGAATGGTACCGACCCCGCTTAATATTTCTCCTCGTTCCCCCCGTCTTCTAGTTACTTCATTCTCACTTCTTTCGCACTATGTGCCAAGCATCACTCGCAAACTTCTCGGTTCCTTTCCCGATGGCGACAGTCCTTCCCCTCTCCACGCTTACGCAAAGCGTGCCGCCACAAACACCCGTGGACCCGAGTTCATCATCTTTGCATGTCTCATTCCTGTCCTCGTCCTCCTATCAGGTGTATTTGCCGGTCTGACCTTAGGTTACATGAGCTTGGATGAGACCCAGCTCAACGTGTTAAGCATGAGTGGCACTCCGTTCGTTACGTTTATTCATTCTGCCTTCTTCCCTCATCGTGTCTTTTACAGTCAACAAAAACGTTATGCCGAGAAGATCATGCCTATCAGGAAAAACGGTCATTTATTGCTCGTGACTTTGCTTCTCTCTAACATGATCGTCAACGAGACTCTACCTGTCATCTCCGATCCCATTCTCGGTGGCGGAGTCCAGAGTGTAGTCGTCAGTACCGTCCTAATTGTCATGTGAGTGCATTATCGCTTCCTCGGATATTGTAGCGAGTCACCTTGCTTTTGATCCGTCATTCTTGATGCGTCCTCTTTTGATCCGCACTGTCAGAGGATGACTCAGTCATCGATGTCAGCTAGGCATCTTTAAGCTTCCTCATATCTTATGCTTCTATTTAAATCTTGCTCACCCAAAATTGCTTCTAGCTTCTCCGAAATCATTCCGCAATCATTGTGCACCCGACATGGTCTTTACTTTGGCGCTCAAATGGCAGGCTTCACTCGAGCCTTAATCTATCTTCTTGTACGTTATCACATACCTATTGAGGATGTAGTAAACCAATTTGCAATAGGGCGTCTTTGCATGGCCTATTGCCAAACTCTTGGAGCTAGTACTTGGTCCTCATCATGGAATTATGTACCGTAGAGGAGGTATAAGTCCGTGTTGTCCATCCATAATTCTACTAATACTTTTCTTTCCAGAACTCAAGGAACTCATCGCATTGCATTCGTCAATGTCTTCCCTTGGTGGTGATCTGAAGAGTGATACCGTCACAATTATCGGCGCCACACTCGACCTGCAAGAGAAAGTGGTGAAACAGGTCAGTTGCCGGACTAGCGTGCGTTTTCGGAGATATTGATTCAAGTGTCTGCGATGGATATAGGCGATGACTCCCATTGAGAACGTTTTCATGTTATCAATTGACTCGAAACTCGATTATGCGCTTATGAAGAAGATTTGCCTTACTGGACACAGCCGTGTCCCTGTGTATGAAGAGGTTGAGATCCCCGCTGATGCATCAGATCGCATGTTGAAGGTCAAGAAGATAATAGGTATTCTGCTCGTTAAACAGGTGAGTCGCTCCGTGTCCCCTGTCTCATCTTCTCTGATCCGATCTTCTAGTGTCTTCTTCTTGATCCGAAAGATGCCCTTCCTTTACGCAGGATTCCACTGAACAAGGTCCCTTTCGTACCAAATAACGAGCCTCTTCTCGGCATTCTAGACAAATTTCAAGAAGGTCGTTCACACATGGCTATTGTCTCTCGCTTTAGTGTCGAGAAAGCTGCTTCAGTCAAGAAGGTCGCCAAGCGATCCCTCACGCAACGCCTGCGCGAACGCGTGGGCATAAGTGACTCGAGTGACGAGGACGACGATAGTAAAGAGAAGGATAACACCAAGGACGAGGACGAAGAAAGAGCATCGCGAGAGATATCCTTTGCTGATGAACTAGACGCTGATGGTCAGTCCACACTACACGGAGACGACAAAGATTCAGTTATACGTATACCCCAGCGAGCTGTCAGGACCGGCCGTGGGCGAGGACGTCCCTCGCAACGCGGCAGGGTAAGGCGTGACATGGAAATGGGTGTTATTGAAGAGCAGGCCGTCCAAAAAGATACCAGCAAGGAGAAGAGACTTCGCATACCTCGCTCGGCACCTGCACTGGAGCAAAGTATCCCTGATGACGCTGTTTTGACGAAAGAAGGCGCCGAAGACTTTTTACAGGTCATTGATCCGGCAATAATGCCACTGGGCATCATTACACTGGAAGATGTCCTCGAAGGTACGCGCTTTCGACTACTTATCACCGGAACATTCTCATAACACCCGTGTAGAACTTATTGGCGAAGAAATCTACGACGAATTCGATCAGGATGGTGCTGGTGGCACTATCTCGTCTTACGTCCCAACAGAACACCCACCTGTTTTAGAGCTCTATGGCAAATCCTTACCTGACCTACACTCTACAGCCGCACAGCCTATCGAGGCGGTCAAGTCTGCTCTCAATGGTCCAGTCCTGCGTCCTCTGTCAATGAAGTCGTTCGGCTTCTTCCGTTCTCGCAGTGAGCCCCCGACACCTCGTGAGACGGACGAAGTTTCTGCAGTACAACCTGTTCTGAAGACTTCGGTGTTATCCCCTATCAACGATGGTGTCAAGGAGCATCTTACACCTGAGACGGTCATTTCAGACACTCAGACCTCAGAAGCCTTGGCAACGACGGACGAGTGGCAAGACATGCTTCAGCCCGCTAATACAACTAACAACGCGTCCACTTCATTTAAGGATGCTCTTTTGACACCTGACTTCACCTTGAAGAAGAGATCTGTTTCTAGCGCTGGGATCGCCGCTTCTGCTCCTGGTACACGATCTTCGTCACCAGCACCGTCTTTGGAAGCTATTTTACTTGAGAGAAAACGTCGTCTTACCTTGGCTAAGGAATCGGGTATGAGTACGCCCTCTGTTCCTCTACCGAGTGATGTACGCTTCTCCGCCTTACCTCGTGTCCCTACGGTCGGCATCAAGGCAGGGAAGTTCAAGAGCAGTCCCTTGGCGGGTGAAGAGCGTGGCCGAATTGTCGCCGAACAAGTCATGCAAGATACGACGAGCGCTGCGGACGTGGAACGGACACTGGATGAGGGTGATGACGTCGCTCATGACAAGAAAGACGATGACAGCGGTTACTTGTAACTACAGCTACTGGCATTGCCTCGTCACTGATGTCTTGTATTTTTCTGCAGATTGCGATATGTAGGATTATCGTAGCTTTTCCTTAGTTACTTACGTCTGTGTTAGTTCGTGTTCTGTGTATACCTTTTTCTCTGCCCCACTTCTTTCCTCTTCTGCGCCCGTCTCGACGTAGATAGCCTTTCCCACTTCAGGAGAAGCACATCCTTCAATGAATAATCGCCCTTGTGGCCATTGCATGTATTCTCGATTTTTCAAGAATGACGTTAAGTTTCTTCGCGCTGTTATGAGGCGTTGTCGACAGTGGGTAAGTCTTACATTCAAGTTGATGGTGGTACTATGTATCAATTATACGAATTGGTATAGTGGTATTAGTATCCTTCGAGAGTCTTGGAGTGTTCAAGCAGCTACCCTGCGCGCCCTCAATCCTTCTGCCAACACCTTCTCCATTCCTGGGCCTTTGCTGACAGACTCCTTCATCTCAAGCCCAGCTTCCTGCAATCCATCAAGTACAGCCCCATACAGATCCTTATCCGTAGGGCCATGCACACCGCGCATCTGAACGCCACCAAACAGAACCTCAAGCGCAGCGAAAGCGACAGGCAGCCCAACACACCGCGCCATCGCAGATGCCTCAGAGTTGCCATACGCCACCAAACGCGACGTGTGGACTTCCGTGACCGAATCTAAAGATGGGAGCGACGGCTGAGCGACAATTTCGTGCGACAGCACGACCATGTCGCGTTCCCCGGGGTTGTATCTGAGCTTATGGGCAAGGACAGAGGTGAAAAGTTCGATCGGTGCTTGCGGTTTGAGTGGTGTTGCTAAGGGAATATTGGATGTGACATTCTCAGGCGTAAGGCCCAACCAGTCCAGAGCATTGAGTGCACTTTCCGCACGTTCGACGGTCGTGACGGTGGAAAGGGCCGACAAGAACGAGCGGCGATCATTTCCGATCTGCTCTCCAATCATTTTCTCCAGGGACATTCGTGCGAGGTCACGCCAATCACGTAGCTGAATGGAGGTTTCTGGGTTAAGTAATCCTATGACTTTGAAGGCGTGCATCAAATCAGCAAACCCAGGGTATCTGACATATGCCAGTCAGTCAACCTAGAAGACGATCTGATGCCCATCGATCACCTACCTGAGAGTTCCACGAAGAACAGTCTGTAAATTCTCAAGCTTACCAAGCCCGTACGTCTCCGCGTACGGGAGGCTATCTCGATTCGCCAGGCCTTCAAGCTTCAGGACATGCGAAATTGGGATATCAGGGAAATATTCCTGGAGAAGATTTTCTCCAGATATCTCCATATTCTATATAAATTAAGCCTTCCTGCGCATGTTTTATGTAGTTATTAACGCACCTTCCCATCGAGCTTGAATCTTGCCCCATTGAGCGCAGCATTGAGTACACCTCTTGGACTCCAGCTGAACTTGTACCCAAGGGGCACATCCGCACAATCAGGGGCGGGCAAGCCACCACAGAATGACGTGAACGAAATCACGCGCTTCTTATCTTTTTGAAGTTGCGCAAGCAGTGATAATGCAGAGCAGTGATCGATCCCTGGGTCGAGACCAATCTCATTTAACAAAAGCACATCTGCTGATTGGGCTCTGTCGTTCGTAACGCGTTCCAGAACCAGCGATCGTTCAATGATACCGAGATCAGAATGTTCCATAGGCGGCCGGGCGATTATGAGAAATGACACAAAGCAAACGACATCAGCGCAAGCGATAACGAACATTTGTGTACTGACCGTTCATGCAAGGCACGCATGGCAGGCGAGATGTATGACGCTGTCACAAGGTGCTTCCGGTGTTGGATGCACAGCTCTGCGACGGCAGGATGAAAAGGCACTGGAAGCAAGCTAATTCAAGTTGATGATCACTCAGATCGTGTAATTATAGGTGAGAAGACGCCACACACCTAATAACAACATCAGCATCTTGAATCAACCTTGCCATCTCTGCAACATCCTGCACGTCCAAATATGCCGCTTTCGCGTTTGAGTATTTGCGTGTCAAATCCTCTGTTTCTGAGCGCACGTTGCCGGCTATGAGCGACATTCGTGAAATCACGCAGTTTGAATTTTCGGAGATTAAGGTATACATTAATCCAACGTCCATGATGTGTGCAAAACAACAACTGACCAACAATAATCTCCACGTCCGACCTCTTGCAGATCTCTTGCACAGTAGGGCCTGCAACCATTCCAGAGCCAAGCATGAGCACGCGCTTCTTCCTCAGCGATGTCCCAGCCACTCCTGCTTTGCTCGCTATCTCTGCGGTTTGGTTCGCTTGCCACCTCTCAACAGGCGCCGCCAGCCCACGATGCTTGCCTTGCAGCTCGCCATTCCGAGCAACTGTAGCAACGTTCAGGGCCTCGAGATGCTCGCCAGAGCCAGGTCGGCCACGGTATTCGTCAATCAGAGCGCGTAAATATGGCATTAAAACCCCACAAAAATGCTGAGAAGCATCGAGAGGAAGACTTGAGGGAAGGATATCGACAGACATGATAGTCACGCTCGGAAGATGAGAAGGTAGAGAGGATGGTCGGTGCTTAAAGAAGGGATCCGAGAGAGTCGATGCACGAGGTAGGAACTCGAGACCTCCCTAAGAAGACAGGTCATGATGATGAATGACTATCACATTCACAACAGTAAATAATCGCCATACCTCAACATCACAACTGATATCGCCAATTGTTCCAAAACGTGCTCGCCCTACTTCGGCTGCACGGGTGAGAGCAGTGGCTAGTTGTTCATTCGTCATAAGTCGCGGGAAAGACGGGAGCCAACCAACACCATTCAGGAACAGCGTGAGGTATGGTGCAACCTACCAAGGGGGAAAATATGAGAAAAAAAATTAAACCATCACCAGAAGCTTGCCTTGGTATCGAAGTCCGAGTGGTACATGGCCGGATTCTTGTAGTAATCATCACGGGAATATTGACCACCATCGGAACGAGTGAGGTAGTCTTTAGGGAGTGCGTGTACGAGGTATATCTACCAAACCGTTAATGATCTTACTCCTATACGTAGCAAGAAAGGACACCTTATGAAGGTCAGTATCTATTTGGGTCATGACTTGAGCTTACATCCAGACAGAGAAAAACAATACATACCTGGATTGCTGACGAGTCCAGCCAAGTCCTTCACGGCCACATTCACGATCGGGAGCTCTTCTAGAATGGATAGACATCCTTGTGTCACGTTCCCGCTCCTACGCGGATTGTCAATACATTCTCTGGATCTCGAACAGGTACATACCCTGTGAGCCCTATGACGAACGGTCCTAATGCCTTTGGCGTCCCATTGTCTACAATGTTCTGGCCAATGCTTCGGAGTGCAGAGCGGAGCGATGGAATCGATGGATGCGTGTGTGGACGAGGCGTGTACTATCAGCGGCAATTGAGGTTAGGGTTAACGATGGCTAGGGTTAGGATTACACGAAACAGGAGCATGTATAATAGCACTCACAAGGAAAGGAGAAGCAACTCCAAGTTCGAGATGCGCATGAGCAAGTGCAGACAAAGACTCAAGGACGCCAGCAACTATTTGATGATGAGCGGTTGCCAATAATTTTGAGCCACTGCTTACCTCCTGCGAACCACCCAAAGCCAACCGTTCGTTTGCCGTCCTCACCTACGAGGAGTTCATAATCAATCAACCGTGGCAACGACGGGTTCTCATGTGAACCAAGGAAACGGGACAGTAACTCCATGTTGTAGGGTTGACCCTTCGTGGTGTGAGAAAACATTAGGTGGGTGCGGGGTACAGAAGGACCTGGGGGCAAACCCGGCGCAGAAACAGGAGATGTAACCAGCTCATTGAGTGGTGTCTCCTTGATTCCTACCACAATATGCGCAGGTTCCAGTGTCGGGTGTAATTTAGCACCAGCCTGAAACATGGTCAGCCACCGCCCAGATCAAGATACGGGTGATATTATACCTTGATAAATTGATCAACGGGGAACACTCGACGGTCGCAATCTTGAATGAGAACGTTTACATCGAGGTGCTGAACGAGTTGGGCGACTTCATCAGGCGTAACGGGGCAGCGACGCTCCCATATCCTTGATGGATCCTCTCGTCGGATGCCCACTGTGACTTTTGCATGTTCAGGCGACGGTGTCCTGCGAGCTGGCAGAGAATAAGCGCGTTTGGCAAGTGGTCTGAGCAGATACTGAGGCGAGCGTCGGAGGCTCGCGATTGCCATGGTGTTAAAGAGTGAGATGGGACACTGTTCAGTGAGGAAGATGGAGTCTGAAGGACAACCAGCGAGATAAGGAAACGAATCGACCAGGGTTTGTAAAGATCCGCCCGAGCAGAGCCGAGTGGGCGTCTCGGGATTCCGATCGTAAATGGGGGACGTTTGACTCAACGTAACCTACTCAATTCTCGAGTATTGATGATCGGAAAACTCGTCAACCTCAGGGAATCCCGGAGTTGTCATCATAGAAACTATCATGTCCGTACCAGGCCACAGTAGCGCGACTCGGTTTTTGTCTTCATGCCAGGCGTAACGGGATGCACTTGACTGCATTGTAACAGCTCAGTTCCGAAGTAGGTTGGAAATGATTAGCGCGCAAGTCTCAATTATGGTGGCCGGGTTCCGAACAGACCCACCGGGTACCGCGGTGCCCAGGTTACCGGGTACCCTGACCCCAATTTATTTGACACACATTGCCACCGAGGCTATACCTTGGAGATTGCAGCCCCAACATGTCTAAGTATAGGCTCAGAGCGTTCTGTATATAACAATGTATAATGTATAATGTCGATGGAGTGGGAGAGATGACACCACATATGCTGGCCGAGAATTACCGAGCTCATAAGTTTATGAATGCTTTATGTCCGATGTCTGCTAGGACAAAAAATATCACCGTATTGTAGGTATTGTAGGAAGCTCCGTTAGGTTGTAGCCAAGTTGCTCCCGTTCGCGGAGGGACTTCCTAGCATTGAGCCTGACCACCGATTTACTGCCTTAGTGAGCTTCGTGTACAGAAACAATCTCACTCACACCGCCATCATCGAGTTCACATAGGCTATGACGAGGGTTTTTTAGTACATGTGTGCAGCGAAAAGGAAGCATACTGACATGTCCCTGTCACCGCTCCAGGCGCAGCGGTATAGAACTGTCCGACAAGACCATCTTGAAACATATACTGAAACAGTTTTGAATGCTCATTTTGCAAGATGGACGACTACCACTTACCAGCACAGTGATGGAGATTGCCACAAGGCTAGGAACCATGTGAGGTGAGATATACAACAGGTATGGAGGATTGCACATACCACGAAAATAAACCCATGTTAATCAAAATCCACATCATATCACTGATGTAATTTCTTGACTTTCTCCTTCCATCATGGAATCCTGGATGAGTCAGACAACAAGCAAAGCAAAGAGACCACGTACCGAACGTTGCCTGTTCGTGCTGGTCGCATGAACAACCATATGGACCCTGTGATGACAGAATCACATGCCGCGCCGACGAATGACGCTATTGGCGACCACTGGATCGAGGTGTGGATTTGTTAGGCTTATTAAAAACTAGTCTATGACTGGCCGGACCTTCGTGCTAAACAGAGCTTCAGAGCTTCTGGTGTATAATCTTTGGCACCTAAGTGAGAGACAGTATAAGTTCCATAATCAAGCACTCACATTATACCACAGACGACTAGAAACAAGGATGACAATATATCAGAACAGTGACACCAGAATTGAAGGATGAATGTAACTCATGCCACAAACTAGTGTTTAAAATTCAGAGAGGGAAAATGACTGTTCGAAAGAGCTGACCCAGCGATGTCATAGTGAGCACGCCCTGATGGTATGTGTTATAACTCTCCACGAAAGAAGTGATGAAAACGTGATCTTACAACTATGCCTGTGATCCAGTGATTGTTGCCAGTGACTAAAAGAGCGCATTGAGACCGTTACTCTCGCAGATCCTGGAGGACTCACTTATCCACACTCTCTGTGTATAGAAACTGTGTTGTTGAAACAAATGAGCATCATTACGAGGACCAGCCGCAGGGAGACGCGTACCACTGAACGAAGAAAATAACCCAATACTGATGATTTATTACTAGACATCATGGATGACAAAAATGCAATACTTACTGATACAAATACTCCCAGCTTTGTTGCTAATGATCATTATACAGCACACTACAATAACACAAGTGTACTTGCCAGCGTCTGCCTATTTTCCCCATGAGCGCGTGTAGGATCCAGGAACAGATCGAATTACCAGGGGAGTTCGTTCATGCACTCATGGGACGTACTACGTCGGCACGAGATGAGGAGAGACCAGTACAACCCTGTTATTGCGCATTGGCGAATTGTTTCGAAAAGACTATGACATTGTCATGGAATCAGCAATAAATTCAAGATTGCGTGGATCACCCACAAGACTGTCGTTATCTAGTGATGAAAGATGATATCACCAATATTTTATTAATATAAAAAGTAGTGCTCACGAATAACTTGAGTTTTTTCGGGTCTCTTGGAAAATATCTCATGTAGAAGATATACTGCCCAAAGGATATCCCATAGAGCCTTTACAATTCTGCAAGTTAGTATTGATGTAGAGTGATTCACGGTGATCCAAGTGCATACACTGTAGCTATGATGCATCCTTGGCCTATAGTCAGCTGCGAGGCAAGGTGAATCAGCGGGATGCTCACCGATGAGCCCGGGCCCCCACATAACCTCGATGGAAGCCATGGGACACGAAGGGGGAATGCAATATATTAAAGAAAGTGAGTGAGGAGTGAGCTGAAGTTGACGCCGGATCTGCGAGACCCTTATACCTTTATATTCACGCATTATCTTTGAATGACATTGCGGCAATTATGACACTATAAGTACCCCGAGCTTTATCCGGCGGGTCCGTTCCATTAGTAGCTTAGCGAACAAGAAACGAAGAGTAGCCTTACTCGAAATGCCAAACGATTCGCAAACTGGTAGTTGGCTCGAATGAGTCCGCGAGGAGCACCAAACGAAGATCTACTGGCATGAGAAGCAAATAACAAGTATGAAACGAAACACTTGCGTTCGTAGACCAATTTACTTTGTGAGTAGTACTAACCGCGGGGACAATAAGATGCCGTCGGGAATTTTTGTCGGATTCAATGGAACCTGCAAGCAAAATGGAAAATTGCCGACTCCGAGAGCTGTGCAGGGTAGTTCAGTTGCGGTATGAGCTTTACAGCATTATTGTACCAAGCCTCTCGTAGAAGTCCCCTGGTTGCCCAATGCCAGGATGGGTTTCGCACAGATTGTATCTCTGTACAGTGCAGGCGTAAAGTGGTGTAGTTCGCAATCAGGCTTGGTGACCGTCGACCAGCGAAATGTCACCAGTACAATGGCCGTGCTGCATGCGGTGCACGAGTGCAAGTCTGGCTACTAGTATTAGTACTTAGATCACCAACTAAGAATCTTAACTAGTAGCAAATAGGAATAAGTGTCTCCATATGAAAAGATTCACTGTAAGCCTTACTCACCGCTTCTATAATTTATTAGTGCTTACGGAGCTAGACCCTCTGCACGTATGTCACATGCCACAGTTGGTTTTTGCATAGTGGCCATGAATACTCCTGGTCTCGTACGACTACCAAACTGTACGATGTATCAAAAAATGAGCGACAGTCCCGAGCTGAAAGGAGGCCTGTTGGAAGCAGTGGACTCCCGAGTCCCTTGCTATCCAGGGTCGAACAGTATCGTAAAAGGTGAGACCCATGATGAAATCATTGTGTGTCCAGCTCCCCAAGCAAATAGAAACGTAAGAAAACACTGAATTCTGGTCTGTCAATATGGAAAGTATCTGTAATTAGCCTGCAACCTACTATCAAATCTATCCTTCAAACGCCTCAGGCCCCACCTCAACACCAAACGTGCTCCTCGCAAATCCCCTCACGCTCCTCTCCAGCTCATCCTCAAATCCGCCATTCGTCAGGCCCAACAACGCACGTACACGTTGCCGGATCTTCGATACCCAGAACACAATGTCGAGGCTAAACATGGCAGTACGAAAGAGCATGTCGCGCCAAAGCTCGCGCGCGTCAAAGCGGGCCCACCATACACGAGTGGATCGTTCATGCGTCGTGACTAGCGAGCGGGAAGCCCAATATGCTGTAATTTTAATGCGGTTAACCGGAGAACCGAGCGACTGGTTGTTGCCTTGTACGATTCTTTGACATGAGAGTTAGCGAATATAAATGTACCAATATGAAATTTACGTACCGCATATTCCGCCCTAAGAAAATCAATTCCTTGGGCATCTTATCGGTATCGACAAGGAATCGTTTCAGTCGTTCTTTCATCCGTACACTTTGCTCATATGCATTAAGCTCGTTGCCAGGATCCCCATTAGCATTCTCTGTACGTGAACTTGACCTGTCACCCCGTCCAATCTTCACCGGCCGCATGAGGACAGCACTCGCAAATAGCCCCGCCTCGCCGACACCCCAGCTTCCGGTGACGTTTCTTATTGTATCCCAATCCGAGGTAAGGAGTGCACGCCAGAGAGAGGCGTACTGGCGCTTGACAGTGGGACGTATGGTCACATACAAGCCATGGTCTAGTAGTACTAGTTGAGGGTCGCGGAGCACAGGTTTCGATGACGGTTTCGACGAGGAGGAGCATGGGCGGGCACGAATAATGATGTTCCCTGGATGCGGGTCACAGTGGACAAAACCCCAGTCGAACATTTGTGCACTGAAAAGCTCAACCTGTACGGAATAGGAGTCATATCAGTCATAAGTTTGTATAAAGGCAGAAATACAGACCATTGTATGCATTATTGCGTGCATCCCGCCCCTTAATTTAACATGATGCATGCTCTCGGGAATGCCATTTTTCTTCTCCTCATGTACCGTATCCGCAAACATTCCCCCGCCTGTTTCAGGCAGTTTCTCACCGACAACTCGACCTAGTGCCTCCCGGTCGCTTAGTCGTACACCATCGATCCACTCCGCTGTCAGCACACGCTTGGTTGAGTACTCGGGGTAAACCTTTGGAATGTGAACTTTGCCAGCTAGGCGGGGTTCTGATGCAACGAGTGATGCAGTCCGCTGTGCGTTAGAGGCCTCAGAAATGAAATCAAGTTCAGCACGGAGGTGAGAAGAAATAAAGTCTTCTGACGTGTCAGTTCTGTATTTAATTGCCATGGAAGGCAGACACACCGACAGCAAAATAAACAGGTAGGTCAAACACCCACTTCTCAAATGCCCACATCACGGCTCTAAATGCAATGAGATCGTAACTGGTCTGGCGCCCTACATCTGGCTTCTGTACTTTCACTGCGACCCAGTCGCCATCCCACGTGCGTGCTTTGTGGACCTGTGCTACGGAGGCACTGGCAACGGCTTGCTCATCAAAGTAAGCAAACAACTCTTGAGGAGACTTGTTGAATTCGCGTTGGAATACACGAGCAATGGTAGGATACGGAATTTGTGGAGCATCATCGAAGAGACGAGCGAACTTTTGCTGAAAAGGTGCGGGCATAAGCGCAGCATTCGCGCCTATTGCTTGACCTGGATCGAATGATACATTATGAAGGTGGAAAGAGTGAATAGAGTGACGTACCAATTTTTATGTACAGTCCGCCATTGCTAGTGAAAAGGTTATACATTCGATCTGCAACACGCTGGTGGATGGCGGGTATACGGTCTGCATGCTCTGGCGTAAAGTTAAGCTTGTAGTCTGCTGATATGAGTGCACACTATTTGTCGTCGGTCATAATTTGAAAGCGCTGGATGATTAGGCTTACAGTCCATAGTGTGCGAAGGTTACGGGTTACGGCGGATGCATTGAGTTCAGTATCTGCAAGGTAAGCTGCACCAAGACCGAAGGTGGTATATGCTGTCCGTTTAACCAGGCGGGAGCGAGAAAGGGGGGGGAACATTGAAACTTGAAGAGCAGGTACATCCGAGTCATTACCGAGACGATATCCAAGACTTTTCACCAAACTATGCCGAGTTCATCCCGTGACGTGGCCGACTACTCCGTTCGGGTAACCGGCAGTACATTTGTTACCCATCCAGTTAATTATACGTACACGGTCTCTCTCTACTCTATTCCACGTCAACATCATTCCACTTCATTGCACGCTTATAACTATCAGGACGATTCGTTGAAGTTAGTTTGGAAATGACTGATATCGTTGAAGACATCCTGTAAGTACTCCTTGAAGTAAGCACCCTAGCTACAACACACACTGCGCAATTACAGTGTTTTCGTCACTCCATGCCAGGCTGTTGTTCTATTCAACGCTCTTCGAGGTCTTCTCTCCCGTGAGGTCCCACTTGCCGAACAGAAGACTGTGCGTGTTTGAATTAATAATTGCCCCCCCCCCAAAAAAAAAAAAAAAATATCAGAAAAACTTACTCGAACGCGGCCATGATGGTCCACTTCCGGTTGTCCGCTTCTGGGAAAACAAGAGACCGAGAGCTATAAAACACCTAACGCACGCGTCGCATAGAATCAATCCCTACATAAAAATTCAATCGAAAACCAACCAACCTCATCATCTACCTCATCCTGCTTTCGTGGGAGGCAGTGGAGGAACTTCCAGTCTGGGTTTGCACCACCTTCGCGACAGAGAGTTTCTGTAACCTGATAGCCAGCAAAGTCTTTCAAACGCTGCGCCTTCTCAGCTTCTTGGCCCATTGAAATCCTATGACATAAGGTGTAAAGAGAGAACCACATGCCCAGGTGGGGACGGCGCGACGTACCAGGTATCAGTGACTACAACATCAGCACCTTTTACAGCTTCCCGGGGATCGTTGCTCCAGACAATGTGCTTGTCACATCCAAGCTCAACGACACGGTCCCAAACGGGCTTGGGAGGGTTGTATTGGGGTTGTGGAGGTGTTGCGACGCGGACCTTGTGACCCAGACGAGGGTAGGTCACGAGCATGTCGTGGAGGACGTTTGCAGAGTCACCGACGTATGCAATCGTGAGTGGTCGTAAGGGAGGAAGAGGCTTTGAAGGAGAGGGGGCTGGTGTATCGGGCGAGAAGAGGTGAGCATGCTCATGAAGTGTCAAGAGATCTGCAAGGACTTGCGTTGGATGCCAAAATGACGATAAAGCATTGAGCACAGGCACTGGAGAGTACCTCGCGAGCTCCTGGAATAAATAAATTAAATATAGGGAACAATAGGCGAGGAATTTTCGCACCTCAATCTCTTCGTGAGCACCGACGCGTGCGAATATGCCTTGACACATACCTCCAATGACTCGTGCAGAGTCACGAGGAGATTCGTTCACACCAAACTGGATATCGCTGGCACCCAGGAAAAGGGCTCGTCCACCCAAAAGAATTGCAGCGGTCTCCGCCGCGACACGAGTGCGCGTGCTGCGTTTTGAAAAGAGAAGAGCAATAGATTTGTTAAAAAGTGACTGAGAGGGCATACGGAGATTGCTCTTTTTCTTGGTCGCGTGTTGTGGAGCCAACCAAGGCATAGACAGATGCTTCAAGTGATGAGCATGGCTAATAAGTCGATTGATTTGAGGACCACTGAGGTCTGCGAGCGTCATCAGACGCGGAACGACGGACATCCTTTGGATTAATATCCTGATACAACGCTCAGAATCTCAGCCATGTCCATTTTGTTAAACAACTAACCTTGGAGCGTTTTGCCTAGTAAATTGACTTGAAATTTGAAGGTATATAATTTGAATTTTGAAGTATCTTACATAATATCTTCGGTGTTAGCCGACTTCCTTTGGGAGTTCCTTCACGACTTCTACAACTACGACAAGCTCATCACTGTCCTCCACGGTCATAACTGCTCACTGGTGTTCACATCTTACTTGTTCTTGTTGACGACGAGCTCTATTCTTTGGTCCTAGTTTACTGCAGTGTTGATCTGATTCCATTTCACGCGTCGTGGGAGATTAACCACGATGGAGGCAACAACGCCTACCGATGTCAACTCAAGGTCACGCTCCCCAACCCCGGCTCTACCTGTCCAACCCGACCATTTCTTTGGTTCAGAGGGTGCACACCTCCCACCATCTCCCAACTCAGACGGGAGAACATGGCTCGACCCCGACGATGACCCCCTAGCCCATAGAGGTATACCAGTATTCAAACCGACCATGCAAGAATTTCAGGATTTTGAGGGATACATGAATAAAATAGAACGTTGGGGATTAAGAAGCGGTATCGTCAAGGTAATACCTCCTAAAGAGTGGTGAGTGTCGTGAGATCCTTTGACTTCATGACACAAGCCCACATATCTGCACAGGGTCGACGCACTTCCTGCAACTGAAAAGCAATTGGGAGATGTCAAGATCAGAACCCCAATCGAGCAGCATATGCTTGGTCGTGGTGGTCTGTTCCGCCAGGAGAACGTCGAGAAACGTAAAGTTATGAGCGTCAGAGAGTGGGCAGAACTCTGCCAGAAGGAAGAGTTTTGCGCACCCGGCGTTGAAGACATCAGCCTTCATGGAAGAAAAGTGGCCGTAAAGACGAGGTCTAGACGCAACAAACCGAGGGCTGGAAGCACAAAGGTCTCATCTATCGAGCCGGAAGACTGTCCTGCGCAGATCAAGGAAGAGGAGAGAGATTACAATAATGAAAGACATGATGGAATTTCTTCCCCACTGTCCCCTCCGACAAGTGTTGTGCTTCCCCAAACTCCAGTTTCCACAACTTCTGACGACGCAGTTCATCACCCTGATCCTTCGTGCAACGATCAACTACCAGGAGACGTGGAGATGACCGCACACGATGATAATGATGCATCTGAAAAGAAGCCTACCCTAAAGAAACGGGGAGCTCAAAGTCGGGAGGTAAGGGAAGCAGAGCGTGCAGCCAAGGATGCTGCATTCCTCAAAACGTTCGAGCCGCACAAAGATTGGCTACCTCCATGCACCATGGCTGATGATTACACCCTGGAGTTTTGCCAGAAGCTCGAACGGCAATTTTGGCGGAACTGTGGCCTTGGGAAACCAGCTTGGTATGGAGCGGACACTCAAGGTTTGTATACGCTCTGTCCAAGAATTTTTATCTAAGGCTTCCCATTCAACTAGGCTCGGTTTTTACGGATGAGACTACAGCTTGGAACGTTGGTCATCTCCCGTCATTCCTGTCACGGTTACTCCCTTCGACATCCAAAGGCCTGCCAGGCGTGAACACACCTTATCTATACTTTGGGATGTGGCGTGCTACGTTTGCATGGCATGTCGAAGACATGGACCTCTTCAGCATCAATTACATTCATTTTGGGGCTCCCAAATTTTGGTACGCAATGCCACAAGGACGGGCCGCAGCTTTGGAGTCAACCATGAAAGGTAACTTATCAATTTTATTCCCTTATAGTTACTGATTGTCCTAGGCTACTTCCCGAAGGATATCTCACAATGCCCTCAGTTCCTGCGGCACAAGTCTTTCCTAGCGTCACCTACACTCCTGGCACAGTCTTCATGCCGTCCCAATTTTTTGGTTCAGCGTGCGCAAGAGTTTGTCATCACCTATCCTCGTGGATATCATGCCGGCTTCAACTTAGGTTTCAACTGCGCTGAAAGTGTCAATTTTGCGCTGGAGAGCTGGGTAGAGCTTGGACGCAAGGCCAAGGCATGCCAGTGCATTCCTGATAGGTTAATATCTCATCATATCGTCTGATCAGCGGTCTTACTTTCTTCTTCTAGCGTACGGATTGATGTTGACCAGCTCCTATACGATAGAGAAGCCGAACACTTACACCCTTCAGTACCTGAGCCCGAAAAACGTCAACCTTCATCGAAGCGCAAAGCTCTTGACGGCTCGGAGCCTCAAACCAAACGCAAACGCCCCAAAGCCAAAGATTCATCGACGTCTACGCCGGTTGCAGGGCCATCCGCGTCAAGGGTCACCCTCAAGCTTGGCCCTCGGCCTGTGGAGGACATTTTCCCCTGTTGTCTGTGTATCTCAACGAGTAGGGATGGCTTGTTCCCCGTACAGGATCCACCTGTTGGTCGGCGGGAGCTTCCTGAAAGCTTATCGAGTCTTCCAGCCGAGGCTTGGATGGCACATGAAGAGTGTGCTAAAGTGGTACCTGAGACTTGGGTGGACGAGGTGGAGATGGGGATATCCGTGGAGAAAAGGGTGTTTGGCGTGGATGCGATCGTGAGAGATCGATGGAATCTGGTATGTCCAACACAGCGAAATGTCTGCACGCACGCTTAGCTGATCGTACATAGAAATGTGCTGCTTGTACAAAAGCGCGACAGAAGGCCCATGGTGCACCTATCCAGTGCACCAAAGGCAAATGTGCAAAATCTTTCCATGTTGGCTGCGCGAGAAATGGAGGGGTCAGCGGCATCGTTTTCTCAATAGTGCGCGAGGTCGAGAAGGAGGTGATCCTAGTATATCCAAACCCGCCACCTCCTGCACAACCTGTCCCAGCTTCTGACGGGGCCGCTACATTTTTAGATCCAGCTTTGTCTCAGTCTCAGATGCAATCGGATGCAATACTGCATTCTCCCGTTCAGGTAGAGCCCCAGGTGCTGAAGTCGATCAAGAAGTACGACGTACATGTTCTGTGTCTGCAGCATAATCCGGTGAGCAGTTTCTTTTTGCGGGGTTAAGCAACGACGAGTTGACACCTATGTTTGAAGGCTGTCGCTGCTGCAAAGCGGGCTACGAAACAGGACCGTATCAAGAGCGAGCTCGTCGGCCTCCCACCCATGTCACGCATCAAAATTCGTGTTAGCTCTGGGGTCTTTGAGGTCTCTTTGGTACGCATCATTGAAGAGACCGGGTCTGTTGAGGTTCTTTGGGACCGCGGTGTCAAGCGGGAATTCAAGTGGGGAAGCGTCATCTTTGGACAGACTGAAGGACAGACTGTGGTACAAAAGCCCTCGGAACCAGCTCCTGAGCGTGAGTCTAATTTTTTCCCACACCCCTCTTGTTGTTCACTTGTGTCTTGTGATTTGTTTCGTTGTGAGTGCAGTTCCTCATGCTTTGATGCAGGTAACAGCTTATCCGTCGATATCGGGACCTGTGGCCCCGTCGTCGTCCACGATTCCAACGCAGGCAACTAGCCCTACGACGCACTATGCCCCATACTATGCGCCGCAGTCTCATCAGCAGTATTACTCCCCAAATTCATATGGCTCAGGAGTTTCATCGTACCATGCCAGATATGAAATTCCAACACATCAACCGATGCCGCAGATTCCCCATCAATATGCCGCATTTTATTCGCAACCTGCATATGGGCAGCCTGTCAGCGATAGCAATGCCACGCACCAGGGTCAGGAATGGCGCTCAGCTGCAATGGTAGCAGCCACACACTGGAGAGGCACATGAGAATGTAGACACTGAAGATCAATGAAACTGGTTAAAAAACAAGAAGGTATACTTATTTTCTATTCGGAGTTGGGACGATTCGCTTCAGGTACATTATTAATGGTGTTTTACTTGTGATGTGTGTATTCTTTGCAATTGACTGCATCGGTTTTCTTGCCCTCCCATGAAGCGTTTGACAAATGTTAAGAAAGCCAAAGGTCCTAGGTGAGTTTGGAAAGCTTGGTGATCATTATGTCAAAATACATTTAGAAGATGGATGCTTGTGTGTGCATGCCTGTGCACCCACAGCAACGATACCGGTCAGACAATGTGGATTTAAGCGAACAAACATCCGTAACAACATCAATTTTTGTCTCTGTTTTTTATGCATGTGTCTATTATGATGTCTCTACAAGTATCGTAGATGTGATTATGAATGGCCCTTCTAGAATTTGTACTTTGAAACAATGTCCCAGAAAGCCTTGCCTTGGATGACAGCAACTTCTAATTCAAGGGCTGAAGGCTGGCGTGACCCATCGGGTCCAGCGAAGGTACCAGCACCCCAAGGAGAGCCTAAGTAGAAGTGACATAAGCAACACTCAGTTATGGACGCAGGGGAGTAAACATACCACCGCGAACTTCGCTTATGTTAGCGAGTTGTGCGAACGAGTGTTTGTAACCCAATGGGACGTAGATGATTCCGTGGTGGGTAAGAGTCGAGAGGGAGTTGATGATAGTAGCCTCCTGTCCTCCGCCTGGGGTGCCTGTAGAAACGAAGACACCCGCAAATTTGCCAGCCAGAGCACCACTGGCCCATAGTCCACCAGTTGCGTCCCAGAAAGCCTGTGAGGATAGAAAACATGATCAGAATTTTTTTCAGATATTTGGCGGGTCAGAGACATACCTTCCACTGAGCCGGGAAATTGCCATAACGGGTAGGAACGCCGAAGATAAAGGCGTCAAAGTTGGCAAGTTCGGAGGGGTTGAGGATAGGATAACTTGGCTTTGCGGGAGCATACATCTTTGTGAGGACTTCCTCGGGCAGTGTTTCAGCAATCCTGATTAATCCAATAAGTAAGGTGATTACGTAGATGGGCCCATGAATACATACTGGTAAATGGTGGTGGAACCACCAGCGGACTCGATACCACTCTTGACGGACTCGGCCACTAATGAGGGCTGGTATTAGGAGGTTGCCGTTCTGGATGGTTGGTACTCACTCTTTGTGATATGACCGTACATGGAATAGATGATGATTGCGACTTTGGGAGACATGTTGAAAACTAGCAGTTGACAAGGAGAATATGAGAGGAAAGGATGATGATGTTCGCTGAGGGACTGACCCAGTGGTATTTGTACTAAAATCTCGCCTACCGATGCCGGGGCAAGATTACTCTGTAATCGCATGTCATAGCGTGCTTTGCCATATCTTACAAAGCTCAAGAACTTTCGCCTCTATCTGGAACTGAATGCTGAGCCCAACAGTGAGCAACGCAAATTTGCTACTAACGGAACTGACATACGTGCGAATGGTTACTTGATTGTTACAAATCTCGAGAACTTTCGCCTCTATTAGGAACTATCATGCCATGATACATGGGAATAGCAACCCAATATGTAGCCTAGCGGATGGTCAGAGGTCTGGGAATGAAAATGCTGAAACAGGCTGAAACGCGTACTGGTAGGTCCCGGTCATTTGAAGAGTATACACCGGCGGTCCATTTCAACGTTTGTCGGATGATGGGACAGATGAAAAGAGTGCGACTTTCGTTTGATGATTCTCACGTTCTGAGGTAGCGGCGCTGGGAAACCCCAGTCCCTGACTTCAACTTCCTACTTCCATGCAGCCGTTCAAACATTATGAAATGACTTTTTCTTTTTCTTTTTGAAATAAGCATTGGCTACTCCCGCTCTCGATCTGTACGAGTATCTCTCAACTCTACCAGCGCGTTCTGTTTGAGTTGTAGATGGAATGATGAGTCTTCGACAGAACGCGAGACAACTTCCTTGAACAAATGTTCCTTGACCAGCACGCGAAGATCATGGGCAATAATTTGACAGAAAACAGCCTTATCCGACAGTGAGTAAACAGGAAAATAAGCGAGATAGACATCACCCCAAAAAACTTGCTCCAACATGATACAGGAATAGTACACATTGCTGGGTATCATTAGCGAGTGCACCTCACTTTTTTGATGAGAGCCTGTGATAGTGTGCAATAACGTAGCGCTGATGGACGAATACCTCACTGGACATCAGTACGCTTCGGCTTCTCTAAGCGGTGAGCAAGATCGTCGACAGGTCCTGAAATCCACGGTCTTTAGAGGCTCGCAAACAAAAGATGCTGATGACAGGAGTACTTGGCACCTCAGGAGAAGCAATCAAGGTGGGATAGGTGCCGTCAAGAAGAAGACATCATTTGTGCAATTGCAAGCTCTGTGCACCAAGAAATAAAAATACCACGTCCCTTATTTCGCGAGTACCAACACGCAGAACACAAGTTTCGCTGTAGAGACCATAGACGACTTGAGGAACATTCTATATATAACTGTTCGAAAGCTTAAGGGTTCCTGGCAAGTTCCTGGCACACATCAGCACGTGGTGATTTGGCGGAAACTTTTGGACACACTTGTCATTGCTTACATCCGCTCCAACACCTAATGCTAATTTGAGACGTCTCCTGTAGTCAGAATCAAAATCCATCAATCTCAAGCCAAACAACAATACTCCTGGTATGTGTGAAATATAACTCGAGCAGATCCGGCTCGAGTTGTATAGATTCAATCGTACAATATATACTTATATTCAGTTCGAAGCCGACTCGGTATACGCTGTCGTGGCGAATCCAACACGCTTGTTTGTGGTATCAAATATGCTGTAAAAACGTTCACTAAGCACAAACACCGCGATTAGCTGTGCAATGGTTCGAAAAAATATGATCACTTACAGGAATGTGTATCCACTGACAAAACTGAAGGTTTTGCTGCCAATATCCGCAACGATAAGGTAAATGTTATCGCTATTGCCGCTGGTATCACCGATAATGCTATTCATCGAGCGAGGCCAGATTTGTGCGTTAGGAGTGAGTGTGAACGCAGTCCCTCCAATGGTAAATATGAGGGGTTTCAGGCTGCTGTATTGGTCTGCAGTGATCCTGAGCATCCCCGTAGTCTCATCCAAGGTAGCACCAGTGGCAGTCTTGTAAGTATCGAAGGCATCTGGTATGCATTCAGTATGTTTGACTGGCCGCATATTATGTGGGTTTACCAGTTGCAATTAGAATGAGTACAGTGGCAGTGTCGATAATACCCGCTGATGAAGACAAGATGGTTGAATCGCCGTAAGTGATAGACTGATCGATTCCCCAGTAATTAGAAGCAGGTGAAGCAGTTGTGATGGGGGTATATGTGATGTCACTTGTCATTAAAGAGCTATTCCAACCACCAAAAGTGAGTGTGCCAGTTGAATCCTCTTGCGATACAGGGACAAAGTAAACACCAAGGACCTCAGACTGTATGGAATTTTGGCTGAAGAGGTTGTCCATGATGGTGGGAACTGTGTCCGTGTTAGACACTGTGCCCTTTGTCAAGCTCACCGGACCAATGCCAAGGACGCCGTCGACACCGCGAAAGCCCTGATATTCGCTCGCCACCCCGACCGATTGGTCACTGATGCTCAATGAGTTCAGCGTGACAGTGTCTAGGTACTCTTTCCCGGAAAAATTGCCGGAACCGTAGGACACAGACTTGGAGTGAGACATCAGTATCAAATGGTAGGGCAAAGAAGTGCGTACATACGACCGTGTTTCCAGTGCCAGTACTGGTACTGGTAACTGTATAATCCTGGTCTGCTCCAATCCACGTATTACCACTGGCAGTATCCACAAGAAGTCCATCTGGCATGGTGAACTCATAAGTCACGGTTATAAATCTTTACTCGAATGACGCACAGTGCTTCAATGGGTTACCGATACCAACTTGTATGGTGTAACCTATGGGTGCAACGTTGGTGATGGATGCATTTGCATAGTGCTCGCCGGATGTCGCAGCCTGATGCAGCGCTTGAGCGCGTGCTCTATCGCCTGCGACGATATTAGTCACACCAGCTACTTTAAATTTAGCGGCAAGGTTAACAGCAGTTGTGTGAGTGTTCAAAGGAATGGAAAAAACTGGGGATCCAACGACAAGCAGGAGCGACAGGACAATTTTTGTCAACATGGGTTCAACTGGAGGAAAAAAAGATTGTAGTGAGGGTACTTATGAACGGTCAGGTTTCCCCGCATTTTGTATTATATGAAAGGGACCCGAAGAATTCGGGAGTTCAGCTTGGCATGAGCTCTGTCATGACAATCAGAAGTTGAATGTTTAACAATAAATAATATATCATTGAACTTCTTCTGGAAACGAACGTTGTGGCCCATAGTCACGTGACCGTATCACATGCGGGCGCGTTTGAACTCTTTCGCGACTGCTCTCTTTCATCGAGTCATATGCTCCTGCAGTAGCTCGTTCATGCCATACTCCATCGTTTTTGTAACAATAACCCTACACTCTCATTAGTTTTAACAGACTATTATGTGGCTCATCACCGGCCCATTCGATAGCGTCGAACAGGGGGATATCACAACTACCAGTCCGTCTCTACCACCGTTCTTTTCTTCTATCTGATACTCAGCCGTAATTACAGAGACGAAGCTGCTTAAACCTGGAAAAACCTACGGACTAGGTCGCAAAGAGCAACCACTGGTAGTGAACAACAAAAAGCTTTCTCGTGATGCTTGTGAATTTAGAGTGGGTTTGTATACGCCAGATAATATGGTATGAGCCAAGTTTCAATGTGAAGCCCAGCTCACTAGTTCTCTAGGTCGATCCATCATACGTCCCCAGACTTCAACTATTTAATAACAAGCTCAAGAGCCTCATGGTAAAACGACAGAAAGAGGACGACGTGACCTGCAATCCGTCAGCCTCTATCACTCTTGAGGATGGAGACAATATTACGATCGTTGCTGGTATTATGGTGGAGTAGGTGACCTGACATTTTCCAGTTCTCATAGAGTCTAACACAATGTCCAGAGTACGATGGCGACGAATAGCATGTTTTGTCCCTCCGGTCAGAGGCATGCCCTCGGTTTCTTCTGAAGACTGCGCTTCAATCGGTTCGTCGTCCATGATTTAAATTGCTCCGCTAACACCACACACAGGTATCAGTACGCTTGCTTCTGCTCATGAGCTTCTCACCCATCACATCGTACCAAAGTATGAAGTGACAACACCAGTTATGACCTCTTTGCTCTGTGCCGCTCAACTTGTCAAGCCAGAATGGTTGCAAGAACTCGTGCGACTTGGCAGTACTCCCGCAGAAAACGATGCTCTCGGTTTAACTATCCTCGAAAGGTCATTTGTCCTGCCCATTGAAAGCAAGTACCGTCCGGTATTTGGACCTGCTCTCCCTTCTGGGCTTAAGAGCTTCAAGCATTGGGAGCCAAATGAAGAGAGGTTGAACTTATTAAGGGGCTTCCGTTTCGTTCTTCCCGCTGAGGACGGGGAAGTTGATGCAGAGTTGAGGGACTTGGTCGTAAGGGGTGGCGCAGAATATGAAGGATTCAATCTGAAGGCGGGGCTTACGAAGTGGAGGCAGGTAATTGCTAAGGGAAAGAGAAAAGTTGAAGAGCTGAGAGGTTCAGGGAAGGGGCTGGTCGTGCTGGCGAAGAATAGTGTAATACAGAGGGCTGTTGAAGAAGAAAAGTGGAGGGAAATGGTTGCAGATGCTGCAAGGTTAGTAACGTGAAACACTTGAAATACTTCGCTGATAAATATCCTGTATAGCCTGAGCGTGTATGTCGTTCCACTTGAGACTGTTCTCGAGGCTGTTGTTCACGTCGATGCGTCTCGCATCGCATCCTCCGGAAGCGGTTCACAAGGTTCTTCCATCATAATTCTCTTCAAAGTTCTATTATACTAAGTTCGTTTCCATTTCTGCAGAATCATCAAACCAGTCTTCTTCTCCTTTGGCTTCCTTTGTTCCCAATACGCATCCCGACGAGCCATCTTTCCCAGATGGCGCCGACAGAGAAATCTTCATGGATAAAAGTCAACGCGCAGTCTCTCCCGGAAGCGGAAGACAGGATTCTACTATGCACTCGCCTGAGCCTCCCGTTGTTCCTGAGCCAACGACCAAGCCGAAGCGAAAGGTGCGTACCAAGCCTACATGTGGGTAGGGGCTTCACTGAGAAACCACAGCTGGTGCGACGAGTGCCTGTGCCAATTGAGACCAGTGAAGGATCTTTGATGAATTTTAACAAGCCAGAGTCAGATATTGATCAGGCTAAACCTGAATCTACACAAGCACCTGTATGTCTGATTTGCTCTTCATTGACATAATCTCCTGAATTGATCATTTAGAAACCACCGTCGGGCAGTCGCCCGCCCTTGAAGCGCCGCTTAGGATTGCCTGGGATGCCTGGAGTTCCGCCTCCCGAGATCACGATACCAGTTGTTACCATCGACATCAACGATGTAGTGGAGGAAGAACCACCGCATAAGAAGTTCAAGGCTTTGTTTGAGGCGAGCGACCCAAACAAGATGATTCTTGAGGGCTCGCAGGCTTTTGACGCAGCCTACGACAATGTAGTAGGCACCCAAAGTGAGAGTCTCACACAAACAATGTGGTCACCTGCTTTCGCACTGGCAAAGCGATTGCCGGTTGTAGCAGAGGAAGAAGAGAGCCTCAGCGGGCCCTCACAGCGAGCCAAGTCCATTGTATCTGAGGTGCCGCACCCGGGGGAGGAGGATGGAGGACTTCCGTCCCAGATGCCAGCCACCCAAACTAGGATGAAGTCCAAGTCACCTATGTTGCACCAGCCGTTACAACCCAAGGCGATAGCAAAGTTGAAGCAAGCCTCTGACGGTGGCAGGCACGTGGTCGACAAGGACGAGGCTTTCCTCACTGCCGTTGCTTCGAAGAAACGCGGGAAGAAGACTGAAGATGATTTTGACCGCGAGTTTAATAAGTTGCGGATATCGAAACCGGATTTGCAGCGCGAAGAACAGCCATGGACGGATATGGGGGACTTTGACCTCCCAAACATCAGAGGGAACTTTATGGTCATTATGGATTTGGAGGTGTACAAATACTCGGACCGTTACCGCGATGCTGTTACAAATCACACTCGTGTCTCTGCTAACATGAACGTATCGAATTTCAAGAAGTTTAAGAAGGTAAGCACCAGGTGTATTGGTGCCCTGGAGGACATTGTTGACGCAGGGTAGAAAATAAATGGACCCCGTCGTCCACCAATCGACCTCGTGCTTGCAGAGGAGAATGACTACGGCATAGGTGCAGGTGGGTGCTTCAGCTGCCCTCGAATCAGCCGAGCTCATCATTTCGCAGGTTACTGGAAAGACAACAAAGATTACACTAAGGACTCACAGGTGACTGAAAATGTGACTCAGGGAACTCAAGGCAAGCGCCGTGCGCTGGCGATCGACTCTGACGAGGACACGCAGTCACAAACCCTTGAAACCATCAAAAAACCCGCTCGCAAGGCAGTGCGTGTAAAGGAGGCAAAGAAGTTGTTTTTGAACTCCGATGACGACGACAGTAAAGACGATGCAGGTTTTGGGTGCTCCGAGGAACAATTGCCAGCTCCTTCTACTCCTACTGCCCGTGCTCGGGCCAGTAAACGCCTGCGTGTCGTTGCTGATGATGATTCTGATGATGGTGTCACTTTCAAGGGCTTCAGCAAGAAGAGAAGAACGAAATAGTTCCACGATATATCTAGACTGCCCACACAAGATATCAAAGTTGGTAGATACATAATGCATACAAATCAAGCAGTTGATTTTAATTAGTTCTATCGCAATTCATCATGAATAGCAAATCCAAGCAAGCGCTGGGTTTTGGCTGCCTTTCTGCCTCCGGTTTGCCTGCATCCATGTTAAAAGAGTCACAAATAAAGGAACGGAGTATGTACCTTTGTTCCTGACACACGAAACTCTCTGGGGCACCTTCCCAATCCTCTAATGTATATTTTGTGGAATTGATTTGAGCTTCGTCGTCATCACCAGTACCGAAAAGATCGAGCGCAAGCTGGGTATGACTCACACCAGCATACGTCGTTACACAGCGAGGATTCACCAGGATGCGCGCGGGAGTGTATGCAGAATTAGGCACAGACAGTGGTGCTGCTGGGAGCACATCAATGGGTACATCCGAGTCCGGCATGGCATCATAATCAGAGCCAGCGTTGACGTCTGCGTCCGGCTCTTCATCAGGAACTTGCCTGCGCGAGAGTGACTGTACTTCAGGCGTGGGTACGACCTCGTCCCCGTGGAAATCATTCAGCGCATTACTGATCCACAAGTCTCTGCAGAACCAGGCCTGGCTGCTATCCAGACATGACGCATCGGCGGCGCGTGTGGGTACGCCGTCTGATGAAGAGGACGCGTTGTGGAAATCAGTACCACAGCGATATTTGATCCCTTTGTAGTAGGACTGAGTTGGATCGACAATATGAGTACCTGCTTCACAGCAGAAGACTTGGAAAGGAAGATGCTGAATGTATCGGGCAGCACCGCTTTCATCTCGAGGAGGGACTGCGTCTGGTTTTGCTGAGGATGTAGATTGTCTAAACTGGTCGCCATGAATGTCTCGCGTCCGCCACCTCAAAAAGTGTTAGATGAATTGGTACTGAATGAAGATGAAAAACGGACCTGTCAGAAAATATGAATTGTCCGTTGGATTCTGCCCAGTCCATCCCACACACCATGGCAGCCTCGTTCGCAACGCTGACACGCAGTGTCTCGAGGATGTCATTTGGACATGTGAATCCCTTCAGCCAAATGACACGATGAAATTCAATTTCGCGCTTCTGGTAGAGCTCGAGAAGGGGCTCTAATGCAAGGTTGCGCATGTAGGCTTCTTCCAGGGGGTAATAGGCTGCAGTTGCGTCTTCCGTCATCCCAGGAACGCGTCGGATTCTGAAGGAAACGCCCAAAAGGGTCAAAACGGCTTCACAGAGGTCGGTGAGAGTGGCCGTTGAATCTGTAGAGTCATAGTCCAACATAGACACAAAGACATTGGAAGTACCCAGTCGCTTAGCAAGTTGGACGATGACGGCTAGTTGATCGACCAGAAAATGATCGGCTGAGTGAATTGCCATTGCTACGAAATAAAGCCGGTCATCATTAGCGAGGTCATCATAGGTATCTTCGTCAACATTCTTGTTTTGTCCGAACGGGCGAGCTAGTGTCGGACAATAGGCGGCCACCCAGCCATTGAGTGATAACAAGCTCTCGACAGCAGTTAACACATTCTGAAGATCTGCATGAGCAGTGTCCTTTCCCGTTATTCTAGTCGGCGTCGCATCAGATATCACGAAGACTTGAAAGACAACCCACAGTGGTGCTTGAAACCGATTCCAATAATCAGTGACGCCGTTGGCTATGACATCGTCAAGGATATCCTCCCTGACATCCCTCCCTATCCTCCCTTGCAAGAATTTATACTTTCGCACATTGAGAATCTTGTCTACCCCCGTAACGCGCTCAAAGACGTTGTAGGATTGGAGGGTTGATGGCTCCAATGAGGATGAAGAGTTGGGGCTAAGTACGAGCTTTACGCCCAAAATAAGAGCCAAAGCAATAAACACCTTCGTCAGAAGGTGACGCCTTGGAATAAAGGTCAGCATAGGGACTAGTATTCAGACCTCGGACCAGACTGTGATCAGGCGGACCTGCCCTTCTACTAGTATGACTCGGAGGTGATAGACTGTTTGGACGCGGATTTTCAGGGTAACGTGACGGAGTGTAAGTGATACTTGTTTATCGCCGCTGTAACATTACTAAACATGGCTAAAGTTGCACTCGTTTTCATCCGACCTTAGCTCAGTTGGAAGAGCGCGAGACTGTAATGGGAAAAATGTCATCTTGAGGTCGCCTGTTCGAACCAGGCAGGTCGGATTCGTTTTTTCTGGTAGATCTACACCCTTTTTTGCTGCAGGTTTGTTGCCATTCTAAAATTTTGACGCTATAGTATTTCCCATATACATGCTTTGATCCACGCTAATATTAATTCCTGTCAAGTATGCAAGGTGGCTTCAAGGGCCTTTGTAGCTTCAGTCATGACATATAACGACTCGTTATACTCGGAAAAGCAGATATGTATATGTATCCCTTTAAAACCCGCTGAAAAACTGAGCGTCCTTAATAGTATCAGCTATCTGCACCATGCCACATACGAGACAATATAAACTATGACCTACACTGTGAGGGCGGGCGGGCCCGCCCGCCCGACTGGCACCAGACCTAGTACTACGGCAGCTAGGTTCTGCGGCCTCTGTCCAATAGTAACGGAGGAGAGACTCGACTTCTTTTGCACTAATGGATCAACAGCCTGGGCGCCACTCTTTACCTGCAGGCTACAGCAGTCTTAGTGACTTGCGGCCCTTCGAAGTAGAAATCCGAGTGGGTGAATAGAACGGCCACATCAGGCTCGGTGCTAGGCTTGGCACTACCCTGTATTTGCTGCATGTTGGCTGCATGTACTACTTGTTCACATCATCAGAGTTGGGTGTTGGCGGCCTGCATGTGGTCTCCCAACTGAGTTTAATTTATCGATGATATTCTCTTTCAAACTTCGCAGACCCCGGCGGCCCGCCCAAGCGACACCTCAGAAACACGGGGTGCATCCAAAGTATGTCAGATGATATGCAATTCGTCGATTATGTTTTCCACAGCACCTCGCAATGCGCGGTCATTCCCACAAACCCAGACCTTGAAAAACTTCAGAGGAATGGCTTTATGTACACTATCATTTGGAGTGTTACAACGAATATCACATTAATCATGATCATTCGCCAGGATGACGTCTAGCTCGCAGTCATAACGCATTTTTTTAATGGAAACGCAGTAGCTTTTCGGACATTGTTCCCTGAAACGCTAAGACAAGAAGAAATCATCATCGGCGGTGCAGCAGGAGCAAAGAGAAAAGGGCCGGGCCATGTTGGCCGTACGCTAGTTGCAACAACGAACGAACAGATACAGGATGATGACATCGATCCGGAGCTCAGACAGCTGGTCATACCAGCCTTTCGATGACCACTCCTGATGCTCCTCATCTTTGTAATGGTAATGATAGCCATTGTGAAAGAATATCTATCTTTTCGCATGATGTCCCTGTCACCTGGGAAGGAGAGAAAAGCGATTGGGAGCTTATTCTCAATAGGATCGAGAAGCTCATATAATTCGGTTCTAAAACCAAACCATGGTACCTCTTCCTGCACGGTGCTGTACAGCCTGTACTGTCAGCTCCTCAAAGCCTTTCGTGGTAACAACAGTAAGAAGACCTGCGGAAAAACATGGCCGTCTGGTTGAATGACGGCCTTCATGGTGTTTGATGAGAAAGGCCAGTGGACTGTCCTTCCTTTCAATACATCTTCCCTGTCAGTGTTTCTGCAGCCGGATAAACTTCTTGACGTGCCAAAGATAGTGAATTGGATCTCTGCGGCGTTGTGTATCCTTTCTTTGATGGTGATGGGACTCCTGCTATGTGAATCTAACTTGATTGACGCATCAAGTTAAGAGGGCTTTTCTAGAGATTAGAGGTAGAGCGGGATAGAAACGATCTAACAGGTAAGAATAAGTCTCAGTTTCTGGAAAGAACTCTTATTGACGAAGCGTGTACCTAACAGGTAAGAATAACTACGCTGAGTCAGTTAGGTGTAACAATAACGATAAAGGTATAGACTCACGTCTCAGTTTCTGGAAAGAACTGAGACGCTCGTAACGTTTGGGCGCTGGTATTAATACGGTAAGCGCTCTCGATTATTTTGAAGGTGAAAATTTACTTTGGACCATTTCGGTCCCGACGTCAACAGGTACTCCCTGTTCCTTCCGTTCCCGACCTCCCTCGACCAATGACTTGCGCTCGTACCTGCTCCTTGTCATTTCCTACTCGTCATCTCGTGCCTGTCCATCGGGTCTCTCGGTCTTCTTCGACTCTGGCGCTTCGGATGCCAACAGCTTTCCCTCCAGTATTTGCGCAATAAGTGCGTGGTACAGTGAATTCTGTAGTACTGCAACACAATATACAGCATCGTGTAGAGATATTACGCGTGATCATGATACTCATGCCCCAGTTGAGCAACAAATTCAAATTCTTGCGGATTCAAAGGTGAAGCTTGTACTCTGTTGGACAGGTGTACGGCATTTTTCAACGAGTCCGTCTGTCTAGAGGAGCTGTTAATTTCAGCTGTAAACATCGCAGTTAGAAACACGGTTCCAAATCCAAGTAGCGCAGGAAGGCATTCTTGTGCGCCACCGCGACATGCATGTGGGGGCGCTCAATAATACGTCTGTCGACGATGAGAACATTCCAGTGTTTTCCGCTTTCCGGTGCGTCCGATGCCTGTTTGCTGTGCTTTCCGATGACATCGACAAGATCATAATCCGGGAGGAGTCCGTGGCGTGAGCCGTTCGTCGTCTTTTTCTTCTTCACGCAAGCTTCTTTGTGACAGGCACGTAGTGTCAGGCCATGTGTACAACCGCTCAATCTCTTCTGGACTTGGCTGCCGAAGAATAAGGATGCTGACGAACCCAGCGGCCGTCCATCCTGCTGTGAATGGTATCTTGCAGGTCCATTTTTGTGCTCATGTTTCGGTAAGCTCCCCAGAAGTATTCGGACAAACCGCTCTACATATGACGTCTTCATACGCATTGGGCAGTATCAGATGATTCAGATCGAAGAGTTGGCGGTTGTCACTGAAAGCCGGATATGTGATGGATTGCGGACAATGAAGTGCCCAACTTAAACAGACTCGACACGAGGAAGGCACGGTAGATTGGGGCCAGGTCCGTTTTAGCAGCATCACGTCTTCCCGTAATGATTCACGAAGTTGCTTAAGTGGTTGTTCCTGAAGTAGGTTCAGCCTGGTTCAGCGCCACGACAATCATGAAATCCATACTTGTCGGCTATGTACCATAATACCATGGTCCTTCACGAGGCTGGGAATCATCCCTGGGACACAAAAGTGAGTTTCTTCGCTAGAATACCGGTTTGCTGATGTATCTATACTTAAACAAGCACGCAAGTGCGCGGGAACGGGGGTTGTGCTCGTGAAGCAGGAACCGCAAGGATTAAAGGCACTGTGAAACAGAAGTTTCGGTATCACTACGCCCAGGAATGGCAATAGGAACGATTACCCTCGATCCCCTGGTGAGCGGCGGCGCTTCACTCGGCAACTAATATTTTCTTCCCTTTGTCGATCTTCACCCATATCAGAAACGTCTCACGAGCTAGTGGGAATGATGTGTTTTCTAGACTCCAAAAAACTAAAGTAACTCGACTTACGCTTCAATTTAGTCGGCTTTGACAGTCTGATATCGTCGACCAATTCTTTTGGTTGGCGGGAGTCATCATGAACTTGCGCGGAGTGTCCTGAAAAAAGGTATCGCGAGCGGTGGACCCCATTTTAAATCATAGATATGTGCGTGCGCAAATCCTTCGAGTGCTTCGCCATTCATTTTCCTGAGTTTAACGACGTCTTTTATGATGAAACTCACTTCAAGAGTAATGCTCCAGTGACGGTAGGCACAATATTGATGAATATCTATCTTTCTGCGAATGCGTCAAGAAGTTATGTGGGCATGGTACAGATTTCCCTGGAAGTAACGTCTATCCCAAGTAGGTTGAGGCGACATCTCGGCGGAGTACGGCAGCACATGCTCTCGAAGCTGTGATCCCGAAGATGCGAGAATAAAAACGAAAGCGCCATGTAGACATTTTACCCGTATTTAGCGGATTACACAGTGCTTCTTGAGCCGATGGCCAACGTCAGTTTTTAGGGCCCTTTCCGCTATCAAGGGGCATGGTTGGATGTGACAGTAAGCTTCGAGAGGAAATGGGGGACACGGGCAGCACACATACAATGGATTGTGTAAAATGGGTCCGATGTATGCGGAGTGATGACCACTGAAATCAAACTTCACGGAGCTGTGAAGGCGAAATTTAAGAGGGAAATGTATCACTTCAGTCATGTCCTGGGGTAACATTTGATAGTCTGGCTCCTCGAAATTTTAGACATACCTCTATATAAATTTCACAGTCGAAAAGGAGCTCATTGTACTTGAAGTCGTTCACCTTCCACCTTCAGCGAGAACTTTTGTTGAGCACAATTGCGCAACCGACTTCTTTGAAAGCCTGTGCTCTCGGAGCCTTCCAGGTGAGAGATAGCACATATGATCTGTTCAAATTTGGAACATGAGTCATCCAATCAGCAGCACATGAGTCATGAGTCAGTAATGGACGCAGCAGTGAGTAAGTAAGTAGTGTCAATGGACACCACATTTTCCGAGCTTTAGATCCTAACACAAACAAACAACACACTCGGAATGAGAGTTTGCAAATTACCATCGATACTGTCCGCAGATCCACCGAGGGAATATTCTTTGCTAAATAGTGAATAAGTATGCCCCATGTAAGTCATACTTTACAATTGGGGTTGAATTGTACGATGTCTAATTGGCATAATGGGCAGGTCTACTGCTTCATTCAACCACGACAGCCGAGCTCCATTAATGTTGTTGATTCTATCATTGATGCAATGTGGCCTCGCAATGCGTATCATATTACCTTCCGGGCTTCCCGGGGATCTTCAGAACGTTGTCTGAATTCGATACAACGGACCCCTACGTACTACGTCTCCGAGCGAAATGTCGACCGTCATCAAGTAATATTGACGACAAGTATTCATCAATCTAGTTGGTCAACTCGTAAGGATCCTCCTTTACAGGTAATGCGCACCTATATTTCTCCCACACTTCTTACACGCGTCGCCCATTTTTGACAGCGGCCGGTATACTGCAACAGTCAAAGCATCATTGCTTGAAAGGCTACGCTTTCGGGAGCGAACTGTATTGTATTCCCGAGCAGTGACGCCGTCATCGTCAACTTCTTGCCGCTGTACCTGTGAACCTCGGAAACGCCTCATAGAATCTTTGTGCTGGTCACCCCGCTATTGGTTGATTTTCATGACCGGCGTATTTGACACCTGAAGGGAATGCGGCTTCATCACTTCTTCATCTGCGTGGCAGTTTTTGTATCAGGCACACTTTAAAGCTTCAATGCCTACTCCGATTTGTCTTCTGTGCCTTTGCTGCACGTGGCCATGGTGAGCGCAGTTCGAAGGAGGCGTAGTCACTGCTCCATGTCCTCTCCTATATATTCTGTCTCGTCAATGTTCCGTAAGACTCACGAACACCCATGGATGCCTATTATTCTCGCACACAGCCTACGAGGTCGCTGGTGAGTTACTATGACAATGGTCTCCGTACTAGGTTTCAACTTAAATGCTAGAATATAACTCGTGCCACAGCCATGCCTGCATACCGCGAGCACTGTATTCGGTGCCATAAAGACTTCTCAGCCAATTACCCCTCGGCTTGCATCGTACCCCACGTGTTTGACTCCCGCTGTGACCCACTTCGTCTTCACAGTGGAGAATTTCAATGGATGTCTGAATGTTGCGGAGGCTACGGTACCGTGACGGAGGAAGAACCAGGAAGTGGCATCTTCCGCATGATGGAACTCACTGCCTGTTATCGTGGCCCGCATACGACGTACAAGGACGTTGTTCGACTCCAGTACAATGGTGTGAGCATCCTCAGATGCAAACAAAACGGGTCAGGGAAATGCATTCGAAACTACTTGACGCAGAGAAATAGACCCGTTTTCGCCAAGGAGGTGGTGTATTGCGATGGTGACGAACAAGACCAACACCATGATGGATAGAGGCAGCTTGTGTAGCATTTAGCGACTGAACGGACTAGAGGACATATGACTTTCTTGACAACCAGCTTTTTGCCTCTGTACACACCCTCGGAACTTGCATTGCAGCCGATGATACGATAATCCATATATCATTACACGACATCAACTTGTTTTTCGTCCGCTATTAGATGCCCACCATTTTTGGCGCAACGTCTATTGCTCCACAACGTTGCGCAAACAAAAATTTAATTCTTTGACAGTTAAATAGCCTGATATAGAAAGTACAACACCTACTAGTTTCTTTTTCGAAACTCGACGTGTTGAGCCCAGCGGAGAGTTACCGCACAGAAAAGTGCTAGAGTTCCACCTGGATGGCCATAGTGCTGCCGGAGTCCGGTTCGGAACCTCGGTTCGAACCCGAACCGTTCCGGACCGAACCTATGGTCCAGGTTCGGGCTAGCCCCTGAACCGAACCTTCACATAGGTCCAAGGTTCGGCTGAAGCCGTTTAATCATGAACACGTTCGGACGCGTCCGAACGCATGCAAACCAAATTGCAGAGAGGATTCCTATGGGAGCTTCCATACCTGATTCACTCAATGCCATCATCACCGTCGAACAATCTCCTGGCAACAAATGATCTCCTGGTGACAATGGGCATTGTCAGCCCTGAATATATCAATCGCAGGAGATTCAAGAGCCTGAATGGCTTCTACTTTGTGGTGGCAACATTCCTCAGTAATGTTCTGGTAAGTCAGGCATCATTATTCATATTCTAATCTATCTAACTATGTCAAGAAAATATCCTTAGGAACCTCGTTCACATCTTTCAATGCTCAATGTCAGTCTACTGGTGATTGCATCGTTCCATGTGTGGAAGTGGTACATCCAAGGTGTGCTAGTATAATTCTATGTTACGGTTTGCGGCATAAATATAATATCTATGTTAGGTCCAATAGCCATCATTCCTGCTGCGCAAATGTTGTGTGCACTTGGGCCTGATGGTCAATTGAAGGACACTAAGGACATCAAGTGGTTTAACGATCCTGATGATGACTCCCCCATGCTCCCATCACCACCTCCTGCCACATCCAATGGCAAAGCTAACTTCATTTGTGTCCTATCGCTCGGGTCGAGCCATTAAACCGACGGAGAAGATTTGTGACACTATCAACAGTGCTCCAGCAAAGCAACCAGCACCAGCAGCTCCTGAGGGTCAGCCTGCACCCAAATAAATTCAAACCAGCTCCCATCTGAACTGTCATGATGATGAACAACCCCCTGCAGCAGAGGAACTTTTGGGCAAGGAAGAGGACAAAGAAGACAAAGAGGATGCTTATGAAAGGACAGAGGCATTGGGGGATGAGAACCGCGAGTATCGCAAGCAGACAAAGAAAGATGAGCGCAGCGTGGACTTGAAGACGATCTTCACACGAGAGAAGGGCCGCGTTAACCCTCACACCCAAGAATGCGAGGACGGTTGGTGGTGTGAGGTATGCAAGTAAGTTTCAATGCTAAACTAATCACGCTGATGAAACTAACATCAAGTCCAGAGGCAATGATGTACCAGCCAGCCAGTGCTTTTTCAAAGGTAGTATCTTGACCCACCACACCCACGTTGCTTGGAACCCAAAATGCCATTTCCCCCTTCACCGAGACCACTGCAAGGAATGAGGGATCGAGATGCATGATTATGCCACCCCTCTCAACTACAAATCAACTGACGGAGCTCAACAAACTTTAGATGGGTCTCTTGCACCTAAGGTTCCTGAGTTCCTGAGGTCCAGCCTGATGGATTACATTGTGGAGCTCATTGTCTCTGAAGATGAGGTGCGTGGTTGTGATCTTTTATTTCGTGTGATTGTGACTTAAGATACTTATACTAGGCATTCCAACTTGTCAACAAGGGACCATTTTGTCACCTCCTTCAGTACCTTTGTCCCTCCCTGTCAGATAAGAATATCCCCCATCACACAAAGACTTGCGATGAAATACTCGAATGGGCCAAGCTTGCTGTGCAACACATCAAAGAGAAGCTTAAGGACATTTGTTGGATATTTCGACGTAATCTGCAAGTCTCGTTAGTAATTCATTCTCTTATCTTGCTGCGCACACGTACTATAACATGCTTACTATTTACATCATCGCTAACACGGACTCGTATATAGTCCTCGCACCCGCGTTGTTCCACCTCAGTCTATTCCCATAAGACTGAGGTGAGATCCCTTCATTTGTCATTGTACTTAACACTCACTAACACTTACTGTAGCCTCTCGTTTGCCTTCGCAGGTACTTGCAATAATATGGATCTATTCCCATAAGACTGAGCCTCTCATTTGCCTTCGCAGCACACCATCTCTCATTACTCACTTCAGGTTATGAGCTCCGTCGTTCCTTCCAATCAAACCATGTCGACTTCAGGCATCTATGCGGTCCCGAAACTCACCGAGAAGAACTGGGTTGAATTCAAGATGAAAACCGTCATGTCATTGACAGCGCGCGGCTTGAACCGTCACCTTGATGGTACCGTCAAAGTCCCTCAGCCACTTCCTAGAACACTCAATGGCAAAAAGATCCTGCTTCACGATAAATCAACAGAGGCCACCAAAACCGACATCGAAACAAACCTAACCCTTCTCGACGCACATGCGCAGAAGGAAGCTCTTGCTATACAGCAACTCTGTGCGACTGTTCTGAATACTGTGATGATTCAGGTACAGAACAAACACTCCGTTTCTGCGATTTGGAGGGCCATTTGCCTCATCTATGAAGGCAAGAGTGACATGGTCCAAGTAGACACTCATGCTCGTTTGCAAAGTATGAAGTGCAACGAGAATGATGATGTCAAAGCGCACCTTACTTCAATGATGGTACTACACGAAGAACTCGCAGGCATGGGAGCACCTGTTGACGACCGAGACTTCACTGCAATGATCATTAATTCCCTTCCCAAATCCTTCCAAAATGTTATGCAATCCACGACAGTTGCCATTCGTGCTACTAGCCAGTCAGTCACCTCTGACAAAATCATTGCTGTTGCTTTTGAAGAAGTCGACCATCGTAATCTCGGAAAGTTGTCAGACAAAGATGACTCGGCACTTAACGTTTCGTCGAACAAGGGCCGTCGATGTGGGAAGAAGCCAAATGGAAGGTCGGACAAGAAGTGCTATAACTGCGGACAAATTGGCCATATGTCAGCTGACTGCTGGCGAAAAGGTGGTGGCAAGGAAGGTCAAGGTCCTAACCAGAAAAAGTCGGAGTCAGCAAATGTGGCTGCATCATCAGACACAGATTATGCATTTTTGACCTCTGATTGCATTGACGAAGCTAATGTACTTCGAGTTCCTGCCAAAAAGCGAGGTGCCATTGTTGATTCTGGCGCCACCTCCCATTTTTGTCCTGACCGCATGAAGTTCAAGACTTTTGCTACGATTGATCCGAAGCCTATTAATGTCCCTGACGGACGAACTCTTCATGCTGTTGGATGAGGAGATGTTGAATAGAGCTACCAAATGGTCAGGCACGTTCCCGAGTCACACTAAAGGACGTATTATACACACCAAACATAGCCTTTACCCTCATTTCCACAAGCCGAATTGTTCGCACGGGATTATCAATCCATATGGAGCTGGGATGGTGCAAAATCTGGTCACAGAAACCAAAGAAGCTCATTGCAAGGATTCCCAAGGTTGATGGCCTTTATCGGATTGCAGGATTGGAGCACGCAGCTGCAGTAGCCCCCGCAAAACCAAAAACAAAGATGTCGTTGACTCAACTCCATCAGTGCATGGGTCACATGTCGTTTGCAGCCACGAAGGCCATGATAACCAAGGGCATGGTTGAAGGTATCGAGATCACCTCATCTCCTGACTCTAACACATTCTGTGAGACATGTGTCAAAGCCAAAATCACACGGCAACCATTCCCTGACCAGTCAAATTCACGAGCCACCCAGTATGGTGAACGCATCCACACTGACGTGTGGGGTCCAGCTAAAGTTCAATCACTTGGCAAGAAGCATTATTATGTCACGTTCACGGATGACTATTCCCGTGAAACGACTGTTGTTTTCCTTCAGAAGAAGAGTGGAGTGTTCGGAGCACTCACTGAGCACATTGCATGCCTCGTAACCCAGCACAATGCCAAGGTCAAGTTCATTAGATCTGATCATGGCAGTGAATATTCCAGTGACGAGATGAAGAAATATCTATCGAAACACGGAATCCATCATGAATACACTGTCCACGACTCTCCTGAACAAAATGGCATTGCCAAGCGAGTTAATCAAACCATCGTCGAGCATGCTCGAGCTCTTCTTATTGGTGCAGACTTCCCTAAAGCTCTTTGGGCTGAGGCCGTAAATCATGCCGTCTACCTCAAAAATAGATCACCCACACGAGCTCTCACCAACAAAACACCATTCAAAGTTGTTCATGGCGAAAAACCTGACCTTTTGGGAATCTGGAGATTTGGTTGCACCATCTACATCAAGATCTTAGATGCGGGAAAGCTTGATGAATGTGCAAAAGCTGGGAAGTTCTTAGGGTATGACAGCGAGAGTAAAGGGTATTGAGTCTTCTGGCCTGACACCCGTCGAGTATCAGTTGAACGAGATGTGAGGTTTGCTCCTGATGAAGCTACTACTACAGGTGATGTGCAGTTCGAAGGGGAGAATGAGAGCATCGTCCTTCACAACACCTCAAAACCCACTAGTGAAGCACCAAAAACTCCTGCGACACCAACACCATCTTCCGTCACAACTAGCCAATCAACTCCACCAGCAACCGTCAATCATCAACCTCCTGCTTCACCTACAGCATCACTTCCCAAACCTGAACCAGCTGCCGAACCTTGCACAACTTGCCGTGTCCAGTTCCCTCCAGGCTACTATAGCCGAGATGTTTTCGATCGAGCCGAACAAATCAATGCAACATGGACGGAAGAATCACCAGACTTAGAAGATGAATTCCCGCACGACGAATTTGCTATGCTCATGCACTATGCTCTAGCATCTTCCCCTGGTGACAAACCAACCATCAGAGAAGCACTTCGTGGTCCAGATGCAGAAAAGTGGCAGAAAGCAATATATGATGAAATTGTCGCAATCGAGAAGCTCGACACCTGGGACCTCGTTGATCCACCTGCTGATGCAAACATAATCAACTCCCATTTCATTCTCAAAGCCAAGCAAGACAAAAACGGCGACATCACACAGTACAAGGCACACCTCGTCGCCAACGGCAACAGTCAATGAGAAGG